AAACAACCACCAAGATGTGTTGTGATCCGATCACTCCCTAGTTGTCATTTGATCACAAATCTTTTGTAGTGTAAACACTGATGGGTCCTGATGCGTCCCCACCAAGGACTACAAAATTTAACAATGACTTGGACAAAGTGTTGCGTGACTGTCCATCAAAGGAGATGTGTTGAAATTTGCTGACAGTGATATCTCCAGCTGTTCTCACACAACTACTAACGTGACTAGCAAGCGTGCTAGAATGTGGATGTAATAACTGCGCATGGCGGTTTGACCTTTAAGGAGAAGTGTCAGAGGCAATATCGAAATCTGAACACAAGTGGTCAGCTGAAGACACGAGAGACAAATGGCGATGTGTTTCGGAACAAAGAAAAACATGCGAGAGTCCTCTGCTACTGTCATGTTTTACTGGGGTGGGACAAAGGCACATGTTCCAAATTCTGAAATTCTGAGGCAGACATGTCCTTTGCGACCCCGCCGAAATCTACGCCTGTGCCATAGAAAAGCATCAAATCCTCCTAACTGAGGATCTGGATCAAATTTGGCATTTTTGCTTGCTAAGGTGTCTGAGTGGTTAAGCCGCATACCATGCAACCACAGTGTGTGTGCGTGTTGTTTTATCAGTGATGTCACCCTTCCTGCACGTCCTGCAGGTCGCAGGTATCATCAGAGGTGTCCAATGACATGTGCACTGCACGCCTGACATCAGCAGGTTTGGACTATGTGTTCGCCGTATAATCAATCATCGCTGTGAGCTCAGGAGTCTCCCTGGGGTTACTGAGTGTATCGTTCAGCGTCAGACAAAGGTTGCGTTATTTACTGTAAAGCGCATCCTTGCAAGTGATCGTTTTAAAAGGCTGTAGTTGTTTGCACCTTTTGTTCCTGCCCGATTCAGGAAGAGAAAATAATTTCCTCCATGTGGTGTGTAAATGGTATCAGACTGCGTGGGATCAGTTAAACGGCCTCAAATGTTTGGAATTCCAGGATTGTACCTCCGTCAGTGATTCAGAAAATAATTTTGCGTCAATTCCGAGACTCGGAGCTTTTACCCCGAAAAATAATTGTCTCATCACACAGCGAGGCGAGAAATAAAACATTTCCTGGTCCATTATGAAATGGATAAACCAAAAATCCCTCCCAGCCTTACTCCTCCTCGTCTGTACCCGCCACCCACACACACACACACACACACACACACTGTGAGGGGCCCCTTGCTTTTCATAACAAAGGCCCTGTCTAACCCGAACGTGCGGCCCAGTATTGCGTGGCAGAGTGGAAAGCTGTGTGTCTGAGTGGGGAGCCCTCTGAAGCGCCCCGGCGTGTCAGGTGTCACTGACATCTGTGCATGTGCGCAGATTTGGTCGGGGGGGGTGCGCTGATGTCCATGCGTGTGATGCGTCTTAATTGTGCATCTGAGCCTGATCTTTGACCCTCTTGCTTTCTAGCCTGCCATAAGCTCCAGCGCTCTCCCCAAAATATTTAAATAATTTCAGGGGTGTTTGTGTAGCGGAGGTATGGGAGTTGACAGAAGTAATTGGAGCACAGACCTTGCAACATTTTGACATGAGATGAGGAATCTTTGCTCTAGCGCTGTTGTTTTTGTTTTTTCAGCTCTGGTGTTTTCTTTTTTCCTTCTTCCACCCCTCCTCTTCCTCGTCTCTCGCTCCCCTCTCGCCCTTCTCGTTTCCCCCGTGCTCCTCACTGTCCCTCTGAGCCGGTCATTAACGTTTCAGCCCGCCCCCACCTCAGACTGACCCAGCTGGGGGAGAACATAGCTTTTTTGGCGAGCGGACAGTGCAGCCTCTGAGGCTTTCCAGAGGTCACTGCGAGTGTACTGTATGTGTGTTTCTGTATGTTCTCATTCCATACCTAGCACTTTTGTTTTTTTAATCCGTCTACACTAATGCAGGCCTTACGCTAAACGCTGCTGTGATCTCGATTGTTTGATGTATGGTGGTCATAAAACTCGGTCGGAGCAGTCTTAAGTCACTCCTCTTCTCATCTTGACGTTATAACAAATAAAAAAGTTTGATATTTTCCCAAGTTTTTAGTGTTGGCTCTGCTGAAGTTGATGTGAACGTTGTCAACAGCCGATCAGTGTTTTCTCTCCAGCACCAAACAGGAAGCAGCAAAGCAGCTAGACGTCCAGTTCAGTTCAGTGCGCTTTCTTCCCGTTTCCACTGTGAAAAGTTGTGGATGGTACCAATGAAACCGTTCCGTACTGTCCCCATGTTTGGTCCCCCCTCTGTTGGGGTACCTAGCACACAGATCTGGTACTAAAAGGTGGAGCTGTGAACACTGCAATCTGATTGGTCAATAGAGGACGGTAACTCTGCTCAGGGCTGAGTTGTGGCTGGTTTTGAGGCTCATGTAACCACTGTTCATACTGTGGAGAGTTTTATTACTGTAACTATAAAATGAAAGGATGTTTTGCTGCCTCTCGCTGCAGCCTCATTCTGTGGACGATAAACAAGGTTCAGACTGATAACGGAGGAAATACAGTGAGTAACAACAACTCCGCCCACATTTAAGAGAACTGTTTGGAATCACTAGGGTCTAGGTACCATGTCTGAAGGGTTACTTTTGCTTCCAGAGGTACCATACCGAAAGTGTTTGGTGGAAACGAAGCTTAACAGTGTTGGGCAGACCGAGTCTTCTCACAGTCTCGGTTCCTTCGAGCTGATACTTGTCAAGGTATCGAACCTTTGAGTTTTGAAACTTTTAGCAAAATATGGTGAGGTTTCGGCAACTCTCCGTTAGTACATGCACTTTCGGCAGCCACTGTGACCGGCCCCACAAAACTTCTCTTCGATGCATCACCAGTCATCGTGTATGAATGTACATTAATAAATTAAGCATCACACTTGTACGTGGGTAGGCTACGTAAGCTCAAGATAACACTACAGAAATGTCAGTGACCAACAATCTGTCGTTCTTTGAAGGGCAAGTAGCCGACGTCCCACTTAGATCCGCAGCCATGTGCTGCATTCATGTGGTGTCAGATTAATCGGCTCCATTTATTTTGCTCTTTATTAGCAACTTGTTCAAACAATCTTGAGCAATCATATCTTCTTTGTCCAGGTTGTTCCCACGTAACAACTTAAAGCTCATGAACACAAAGTTGGAAGAACAACCATCTGAGGAACTTCATGAATGCACCTTTGGCCTCGGCTGGCTGATATCTCAACTGGGCTCCAATTTAATTGGTCGTCACTTGTTCATTCAGGGCTGATTCTGCACTATGTTACTGCATAACAACAAAATGGGCAGCAGGAAAAGGAGTTGAGTTTTGGTAGCAGGATGTTCTAATGCTATGCACAGAATATAGCTTCAAGGTTTTCATAGGGTATTCCAGTCACCGGGGGTGATCATTGCTACTAGGGCTGTCAACAAATATTCTAAATTCGAATTTAAATTCGAATTTGAAAAAAAAATGGACCTTCGAATGTGAAAATTGATATTCGATTGTGGAGAGAGAAAAAAAACACCACCGCAGCTGTCCTCTTTGCGAGTGGGCGTTGGCATCAGACGCGCATTTCTCCACGCTGGTCGACAAGCGGTTCTGCTCCCAGCTGTTGTCTCCATCACCCGGCTTGACACATTCGCTCGCGGCTCGCGCAGAAAATAGACCAGACACCGAAACAATCGCTGCAGGGTGCGAGCCGGTCACGGTCCGGTGCTTCGAGGCTATTCGCAGCACTTCTGCCGGCGGTGTGGTCACGGGTCAGAGAGGGGGGGCGAGTGAGAGGTCCGCGGTCGTTTATAACGTAATGTTATAGATAATTGTTTTATGTGTTTTAATGTGTAGATATGTAAATGTTTTCAAAGACGTTTATGTTGAAATAAAAATACCTACAGGTAGTTATGTTTCATATACAAGTATGTTTCCTTGTATTAGTTTGCCCTCTTGTGGACATAATGCAGAAAAAAAAATATTCGAATGGTTCGAACCTATGAGTTATTTTTAGAAGGAATATTCGAATGTCATTTTTGAGCAATTTTGACAGCCCTAATTGCTACACAAAAATGTTTTGGGATGTCCAGTTAAACAATTGCTTAGCTGTGTATACTATATGTGTAGTATTTTCTAGGTAACGAGCCAATGCTTGTATGTAGGTAGGTCGTTGGAGCCCAACAGATACTCCTGGGTGAGCAGCTTATGTCCAGTATGTTCAGTCTCGTTCAGGCTGTCTGGATTTGAGTCCAATTCAATCGTTCTTGATCACTCACTGCAGCAAGGACCGTGAGCAGTAGCCTACGATAACAGTGGGAGTGGGAAAAGTCAGGGTTCATGAGCACTCCGATATTCAACAGCCTGACTTGGCACATTAGACACCAAACAGAGTCGTTCAGAAAGATTTGTTGGTTCATTTTTGCCCATCACCAGACGGTAAACATGGAGGAGACTCCAAGGAGGTGCAAGTATGTCAAGCCTTGGTTCTCTTGGACAGTGGGAAAGGAGGAGACACTGGTGGATGTTGAATTCGGCACGTACTTGATCCTTCAATCAGCACTTACTGTAGAGAGAAAACTGTTGGCGTCTCATTCCCATGTTCTCCTCCCAATAAAAAAATTCAGCTAACCCACGGAGGCTGGTTGAGAGTTGAGACATCAAAATCCTAAATGTAAAGTTAGTATGTAAATACAGTTTGTTTTTATAGTTTATAATGATGCCGAACTGACAAGAACAGTGTCGACATATGACGCCTTTTATCTTGTGTTTCTAGAGTTCGTATTTTTGCAGACACGTAAGGACTCATGGGAAATAATCTAGTTGTAGTCCTGCATATAGTGACCCTGCAGGATCCCCAGTCTTTGTAAAACCTTACAGTGTGTGACAAAAACACAGTGACCCCAACACCAGCCCTTGATGCTCCCTGTCTTCATCTTAAAGTTTCAACACACCCAGTATCTCTTAAACTCATCTGGATCACAAAATGACTCTTTAATAAACAAACTTCTCTCTTTTCTTTCTGTCTCCCTCTGTTTTCACCATGCAGAGAAGCGATGAGGAATTACCTGAAGGAGCGAGGTGACCAAACTGTCATGATCCTGCACGCAAAAGTTGCACAGAAATCCTACGGCAATGAGAAAAGGTGAGTGAAATACAAACGTCAAGTCGTCCTTCACCAAGGTTTCCTCAGGCATTGATTATCATTGGAAGATGTTGGATTGGAGAAAACAGAATGAGGCTGAGAAGGTTTTTGGAGGTTTAATAGATTCATAGTTGGGAAAAAAAATCACCCAGTTTCATCAGTAATCTCTCTGGCTCTCTCTGCAGTGTTGGATTAACACTTCACATTCATAAAACTGATTTCCTTTTCATTATTTTTTTTGTATCGCGCTACACTTATATTTCCTGGTTGTTTTTTAATATATACGTTTTAACAAAGCGAAGGATTTTATTCATCAAGCGCTCAGATTTCTAGTTTAACGTTTCCTGGTGTGGACAGCTTGCCGAGGCTAGCGAACCGGCTTGTTTTTAGCATTGGGAGCTAACCATCACAGCAAGAACAAGACAAGTTACAATCTGTTGACTGAAGGCTAATCTCTGCAGCGCCTTGAATATGATCAGCTCCGAACTCCAGATCTCAGGCTATGATATGGTGCTAATTATGGTTGTATAGCAACGTTAGGTGCAACTTGCATCTGCACCCTTGAAAGCACCTATCGCTCGACGTCGCAAAACATGCAGCACGTGTCTCTTAAACAGATGTAAGAGTGATATCAGTCTTCTCAGCCGACCCCCAAAATGTTGAGCTTTTCAAGAGAGAGACTTTTTCTAATCTAATTTTGACTATTATTGCGTCTGTCTTCAATTTCAGTTCCTTATTTTTTCCAGATATGAGCTAAAAGTCACTTGTGTGAACGTTCCGACCTCTAATCATGAACATCACAGAAGCCCTTACACACACTGACCTCTTGTCGAGTGCGCTGATTGCAGACAGCTCAGCCTTTAAGGGAGGTATTAGCATCACGTAGAGATGCAAACTTGGCTGCCTTCGTCGCGAGGGTTTATGGAGAGGTAACGTGTGTCACTCAAGGGGACAAGGAGGCGAACGAAGAACACACATTCCAGCTTGCCTCCGTGCAACGTGGGCACCTCGACCTTTCTGATCTCAAAGAAGGTCAGAGGAGGAAATGAGTGGCGACCTCCGGTGTGAGGCCACGTTCAGGTGAAGGAAAGGGAGCAATGGGAATAGGGGAGATAAAAGACACAGGCGGGGGATGCACTGATGTTTAGGTGCAAGGGTTCAAGGACGAGAGCACACAGGTCTTGCAGTTTCTCTTCCTCTCTTGAACCCTGCAACTCGTCTTTTCTTCCTCAGCCCGTCCTGTAACTCTACTCTCACCTTTTTACCTCTCACTCTCAAACTTTTTATAGCTTTTCCCCTCCCCACCCTCTGCTCCACCCGCCCCTCCTCTCTGGCTCATTATGCAACTTCTCCTCAGCTCTCCATCCTCCGCCTGTTTTTTCTTGGCCCGAGCCGCGGCGCTGCTTGCGATCTCATCAGGCCCTATCTCTTGGCAAATCAGCCGCTCGCAGGCCAACTCGGAGACACCTCGGAGAGTTGGAGCACGACAGGAGAAAAAGACAGAGAGATGAATTCCTCAGATAAATTGTGGCTGTCTTGTCCAGTTAAAGTGACACCGGGCGAGGCGAGCGGCGCTGAGAGGAGACCATTTACTTGTCACATGCATGCTGGTGCAGGTTTCGGTATCAGTGTTAGCCGGGGTTGCGAGTTGCTCAATGCCGTGCAGATGCAGGGATTACAGTTGTGTGCTCAGTTAAAACCACAGTATCTGTAACCAATAGAGCGTCCAGCCGGATCACACACACACACACACACACACACACACACACAGTATCTGAATGAGTGTGTGCTTAGCTGAAGGGATTTCTGCTGCATCACAGACACAAAGTCAGATCCCTGCCTCCATGTGCATGTCACTGTTTCAACATCCTTTGGCCTGCAAAGCCCCGTCGTGTTCATGTCGCCTGTCTCGCACCTCTGATTACTTGTGTCTGTATCGTAACAAGGGAGCCCGAGAGAGTGGGTGCACGGGGAATGCAAATGTCCCTCTTTCTAGCTGCCTCTCTCTTCTGTGTGTGTCTGCGCTTTTTATAGGAGGCGAAAGTAGACAAACACCCACAGAGACAGACAGTGGTGTTGTGAAATAGGTCGCTTTCCAGTTCTACTCTGACGCACAGGAGTTCAGATTCGATGAAGCTGAAGTTCTGTACCTGACCATTAGGAAGTGTTTCAAGGCAGAAGAGCAGGAAATCCTGAAATGGAAAAAAAGTTACGTTTGTACTTGAAATTCTGGTTTCGTGTTTATTTTAACAGATCAGTTTCATGCTGGACTGCTCATGTTAACATCTGCTAAATGAGGCTGGACAGCTTGAGGACAGAGTGCTTAGTTTGGTTGTATATAACAGCAGCTGATAAAAGCTCCTTGGTGAAGCTCAGCACAGGTCTGCCCTCTCCTGGTGTGAATGAAGAGATGCATCCAGCTTGTTCCATTGAAAGAGGTGTAACAGTGGTGTTTCTTGGGTCCTCACAAATATTGTTCTCTGTTGAAATGTTTGACTTCTTTCAGGACAAATAATATAAAAGTCAATTTTAAAGTGGATTAAAACATGCTTCTGTTGACAGTTATAGACTGAAATATTTGTCAAAGGAGCAAAAATTGTCACATATATTTGGACCTTTACCTCTTCCACTCCGGCCCTCCCTACCATGGACCCATTTCTGTGTTTTTAAGCGGGAAGAGGGCACCCTTAGTGGGAGATAGCAGGTCAATAGTGTACGCCACATATAAGTGACATGCATCATTTGACAGGTGGGAACCTTGAGAAGAATTTAAGATGTTTTAAGTTTATCCAGTTATATACACACACACTGTATAAAAAAGAATGGACCGCTGACTGTGGACTGTCGTCTTGAAGCCTTGAGTAAGCATTTCAGCCATCGCCATCTTGGATTTTGGAGTCAGAAGTGACCTGATTTGGATGAGAGGTGGGCACTGTGGAGGATCGAAGGGTGGATTTGAAACAAAGACTATGGTGATGCCTCACAGACAGCCTGTCACTTAAGCAGCCCCGCCCTGAAATATACATACACTCAAAGCCTTGATAAGATGTAAACTGGTGAGTTCTAAAATAATTCACCTTCGTATAGTTGTCATGAAGGTTGAAATCAGCTATAGAGACCAAAACTGTTTTGTACCAGGCTATAAACATGTTTATTTCTGCTGTACAGTGTGGCATTTCAACATGGGGGTCTATGGGGATTGACTGTTTTGGAGCCAGACTCAGTAGTCTCGCCACCAGACAATCAGAGATCTCCGCCTTCTGATAGTCTGGGGACACTCCTTTCTAAAGTGTGTTAAACACACCAGAGAAAACAGCAAGCAACAAAGCAACGCCTCTTGCATTTTTGAAAAGGACACGCCCTCCTGGAAATGTGCACTCCCCCTTTTCTCGTCCACAAAGAAACAAACACACAGAGAGCTTGAAAATGGATGCCGAGAGATTTAACTCCGTTTTATCAAACGTGTGCTCAATCCACAAGATTGTGGAAATGAAGGACTTACAGCGACTTTGTTTAAAACTTTTAACGCAGTCAGACTATGTTTACAAGCACAAGAGTTCAGAGAGCCACAGAAGGACCGCCCTGCGGATTTACTATTGGTTCTGCAATGTAGGGAGTTTTTTTAAACTCTGAAATTGTATCCGCCCATCTAAACACAAAATCAGGGAGAAGGTCATCAGTCTTTAGTTAAGCAAAGCGTCTAAAGACTGACTTGTGAGTCTAGACTCAAGTGGCAGTTTTTGGCGCTTGTACATTTGCTTCATTTTTCAGCCTCAGAGGTTGCCGTTGGTCATATATCTGTAATAATCAGTGTGCTTTGGTGTGGTGTTCAAACTTTGAAAGTTTAGCGTGTATAAGGGTGTAGAACATCATGACAGAAGAATATGATGGCCATTTGCATGCTGAATTATGTATAATAAGTTGTTGCAGCCATTTTAGGGTTAATACCATTTGTTACACAGATTAGGTGCAAAATGTAAGCTTTTTTCACCACTCGAGAATTGATGAAAATGGTCAAAAATCCCTCCAAAACACCACAGTAAGACACTAGGACTTTGAGGAACACCACAGAAAAACCCATACTTTGTTTTTGTATCAAAACCTTTTGACATTTGGAGATTTCTGTTGCAAGAATTGCATTTTTCATTGATTGGATGGCGAGCACTTCTGTTCTCAAAACTGCTGAGAAACCCTGTTATTGTCACTATACCTGTGAAAGCCATCCATCCTCTGAATGCTCCACGTCTCTAGTTTGTGGTTGTAAAGTTTCATGAAGCTGTAGCCATCCTTGAGATCACTATTTGTCATTTTATACAGTGAGGTCAAGGTTTAAAAAAACTGTTCTCACTACAGTGTAATGAGGTTAATTTGTTAACTTAGGTTTTGGAGCAGGGCCACGCCTCAACCACACCTGCCAATCCTACTTATACCTGGACAACCCATCCTGCTGTGTTTGTCTCAGATTTCTCGAGAACAGATCCTGCTTTACGCCTAAAAGTTTGATTAAATAATGCTGATACTTAGATTGCAAAAGAATCACCATGGATCCTGAAATACAAATCAACCCGCCTGATTCAGATGACGATTTTTTTAAATGATGGGTTCGAAACTGTGCTGAAATGTTCAATGAAATGGCTACTATGGGGACTAACATCATCACACATGAATAAAACTGGGCTCACTGAATCCATCAGAGTCTCAGCTTTCCAGTCAGACCCAATTTATGCAACTCCAAGACTGTTTAGAGGCTCCAGTGTGCAGAAATATTTGCATACAATAGGCGAAAATTCATATTTATACTGCATACAAAAAAAAAACCCTCACTGGGATTAGTATGAAGTGGGCCAGTCTGTAAAGGGGAGACTCGTTGGTACCTACAGAACCTACTTTCATTCAGATATCTTGATACGAGAGGTCAGGAGACTCCTGTGAACACATTACCGAAAAGCTTCTTCTACTTTCATGTGACACCAGTATCTTTACTCAGCCTGCTGCCGCCTCTGAAAGACAGTAATGTCGGCCAAGGGATGCTGGTGTCCCCACAGACTGGAAGTGGTTAAGCGGTTTTACACTGGCAGATGTTAAAGTAAACATCAAAGAATGAAACAAAGAAAACGGATGGTGTGAGGATCTGTGACCAAAGATTAATAGGTATTTGTTGTGTCTGCGTGCAGGTTCTTCTGCCCTCCTCCCTGTGTTTACCTGATGGGCAGTGGCTGGAAGAAAAAGAAGGAGCAGATGGAGCGGGACGGCTGCTCCGAGCAGGAGTCGCAGCCCTGTGCCTTCATCGGCATCGGCAACAGCGACCAAGAAATGCAGCAGCTTAACTTAGAGGGAAAGGTACAACACACACACACACACGCTGCCACTCTGTTATTTACTGTAACACAAAAACATGCGGTTACTTCACACCTTCCCTTCAGGCACTTTATAGAAATTATACAGGCAGTGTGTCATTTACCCTCGGTGCATTTGAAGGTTATTAATTCCAGCCATTTTTCTGTTGACAGTGGTGACAGATACTTGACAGGTGACATGTTGAATCACCACTCAGGCTGCTAAACGAAAATAGGAATGTGAGCTGTGTTCCTGTGTCACTTTGTGTATCTACCTTCTCCAGGAACCGTCGGACAGAATCGACCGTATGCAGCAGGAAAATAAAAATAAGATGTAATGTGTTCTGATTTCTCCCTCTCTGCCTCTCTCCACCATGTCCGCCCCAGAATTATTGCACAGCCAAAACCTTGTACATATCCGACTCCGACAAGAGAAAGCACTTCATGTTGTCTGTCAAGATGTTCTACGGCAACAGCGCTGACATCGGTGTCTTCCTCAGCAAGAGGATCAAAGTCATCTCCAAGCCCTCCAAAAAGAAGCAGTCGCTCAAAAACGCTGACTGTAAGTTTGTGCTTGTCTGTTTCTGTCAGGTATTTGGGGGGAGTGTGGGAGCGTAGGAGTGTACACTGAACTATTTGTTTGCTGATAGCTGTGGTGTGTGTGTGGCCTATTTTGGATACGATCTATTTAACAGACTTTATTATTACTCAAGATAATCCAAAGTCCTTGTTGTGAGCATTTTCATGTAGGAACTATTTTCCATCTACCAAACTACACCCAAGCAGAGGTAAGTGTGCATCTACTGCTAGCTCAGCTGAGGAGGATGTATTAATGTTTACATCTCACCCTGTCATGAGTACGAGCCTCTCGTCCATGAGTAGATGCACACTTCCTTCTGCGCTGTCACACATTTACAAGCAGACCAGATCAAATACCTTGTGTGAGAAAGCTGCTCTTGATTGGTCAGAATTTCCATGTTGGAAAAATCCAGGAAGTAAAGCAAACGTAAAGCTCATCGTGGACTATATTGCTGTCATTGTTCATTTTAGTCAAACCATACAGTTTGAAAACGAGGCGCAGCTCCAACTAGAAAACAATGTTTTGATGCATTGGATGTGCTGAATGTGCATATTAAGTCAGTACAGGAGGAGGTGCACATTAATAATCCTCCAGGACTGTAACATGCTCATGTTTAACCCAAACAATGTGTCATGTGACTGCAGTTGGTTCGGATCGAGGTCGGAACACGTTCTCACCACAAACGAACCGCACCAGAGTTCATTTGTAACCGGACTGAGACCACCTCTTCAAGAAGGTCTCAGTCCGGTTGTTTTGGTGCGCACCTGAGTTTGATTGCTGTGTTCACACCTGCCCAAACGAACCGTACGTAGGGGGCAAACGAACTTGAGTCATTGTCAGCTGGAGCCACGAAAATTGCAATTGTTGTACCCCTTAAAAAGATGCGGGGATGCTATAACTTGTTCAGTGAATGCGGTGTGACTGACAAAATATAAAAAAAAAAAGGTTTGGGGTGCCCAGTATCTCAGTGTGTAGAGCCCCATGTACAAAGACAGTGTCCTAACTCCAGCCTGTGGTCCTTTGCTGCATGTCATCCCATCTCTCTCTCTCCCCCCTTCATAGTTAATACTGTTGTAGTGGTTTAAAAAAAAAGGCAAAAGACCAAAGTGCCTTCTCCATAGCTGTCCCTTCCCTCTAGAACTCCCTCCCCACACATTTGAGATTGCACTGACCTCTTCCGAGCTCAAATTACTCATCAAAATCATCATCTTCTCAAAAAGGCTCCGATGGAAAGTGGCTTTGAGAACTATGACAAGTGCTCTATATATTAAATGCGTTGCTATTATTTGCCAAATGTGATATTAACTTCTGTTTTGAAAGTTGCTGTAAGAAAATCACATTATTTCCATCCACTAGAGGGCAGTGTAGCTTCACTTTAGAGTCCTGCCAGTAACCCAGTTGTGTCACATGTAGCACACCTGCAGTTTACACATCACCTCCTCTGCTGAGATCATCACTGTGAACACAGCTGACATGAAAACAGCATGTCATGTTTGGGCCGTTGTGTAATCCTTGTGTTTGTGTGTGTTCTTGTCTGCAGTGTGCATCGCATCAGGGACCAAGGTGGCACTGTTCAACCGGCTTCGGTCCCAAACAGTCAGCACGCGCTACCTACACGTGGAGGGCGGCAACTTTCACGCCAGCTCCCAGCAGTGGGGCGCCTTTTACATCCACCTGTGTGAGTCTCCCATCACTGCAACACCAGCACACATACATTAATGTAGAGGAGGTTTGAACCATGTGGAGGTTCAGTGTGAGTAAAGAGGGGAATGCGGTGTGACGGCTTGTCACTTTATCTGCACGACGCTGTCTGCTCATTTGAAATGTAACCCACGCTGCGTTATAGTAATTACACAGCTGAATCATCGCAGACAAAGAAAAGGTTTGATTGATGGAATGTGGGTTTGAGTGTAGAGAATATGTTCTGACATCCTTTTTTGTTTTTTTGTTTTTTTTCAGTGGATGACGAGGAGTCAGAAGGAGAAGAGTTCACTGTGAGAGACGGTTACATCCACTACGGCCAGACAGTCAAACTGGTTTGCTCTGTCACTGGCATGGCCCTGCCCAGACTGGTAAAAGAAATCGCATCATTTGAGACTAGAAAGATCAGATAAAAAAGAACCTATTGTCCTCATTTTCAGGTTCATACTTGTATTTTAGGGTTCTGCTGTTACGTGTTTACATGCTCAAGTGTTCAAAAAACACTTAATTTCCACATACTGCCTGAGCCGCTCTGTTTTAGCGCCTGTCTTCTTAAGATTGGGATTGAGTAGAGTCGGTTTTTGAAAGGCCCAAAAAGCGACTGTAACAGGCAGAAAAGCGCCACTTGCTACTCTGAAAAATCACCAATAAAAGCATCTGAACTAAAATCTTGACAACTGGACATGTTCCAGCAGGAATATGATCTAAAAACATGGAGACATTGATAACATTAGCAGCCAAGATTACATGTTTCTCTGACGTTAGCATGTAGCTACATGTAGCAGTGTAGCTGCTTCCGGGGAATGACTGTAACAGGGAGAATAGTGGCACATACTTCCATTGAATATCACCACTAAAAGCTTCTAAAAACAACTGGACATATTCCAGCGGTAATATATAAACGACGTGATAGTAGTGTTGTCACAATACCAAAATCTTTGTTTCGGTACCAATACCAATATGAATTTCGATACTTTTCGATACTCTTCGGTACTTTTCCTAAGGAAAAGTCCTTTTGGATACAAACCTTTAGAACAATAAATAGTAGGGGTGTAACAGTACCAAAAAAATCATGGTTCGGTAAGTACAGTACAGGCCAAAAGTTTGGACACACCTTCTCATTCAATGCGTTTTCTTTATTTTCATGACTATTTACATTGTAGATTCTCACTGAAGGCATCAAAACTATGAATGAACACATGTGGAGTTATGTACTTAACAAAAAAAGGTGAAATAACTGAAAACATGTTTTATATTCTAGTTTCTTCAAAATAGCCACCCTTTGCTCTGATTACTGCTTTGCACACTCTTGGCATTCTCTCCATGAGCTTCAAGAGGTAGTCACCTGAAATGGTTTTCCAACAGTCTTGAAGGAGTTCCCAGAGGTGTTTAGCACTTGTTGGCCCCTTTGCCTTCACTCTGCGGTCCAGCTCACCCCAAACCATCTCGATTGGGTTCAGGTCCGGTGACTGTGGAGGCCAGGTCATCTGCCGCAGCACTCCATCACTCTCCTTCTTGGTCAAATAGCCCTTACACAGCCTGGAGGTGTGTTTGGGGTCATTGTCCTGTTGAAAAATAAATGATCGTCCAACTAAACGCAAACCGGATGGGATGGCATGTCACTGCAAGATGCTGTGGTAGCCATGCTGGTTCAGTGTGCCTTCAATTTTGAATAAATCCCCAACAGTGTCACCAGCAAAACACCCCCACACCATCACACCTCCTCCTCCATGCTTCACAGTGGGAACCAGGCATGTGGAATCCATCCGTTCACCTTTTCTGCGTCTCACAAAGACACGGCGGTTGGAACCAAAGATCTCAAATTTGGACTCATCAGACCAAAGCACAGATTTCCACTGGTCTAATGTCCATTCCTTGTGTTTCTTGGCCCAAACAAATCTCTTCTGCTTGTTGCCTCTCCTTAGCAGTGGTTTCCTAGCAGCTATTTGACCATGAAGGCCTGATTCGCGCAGTCTCCTCTTAACAGTTGTTCTAGAGATGGGTCTGCTGCTAGAACTCTGTGTGGCATTCATCTGGTCTCTGATCTGAGCTGCTGTTAACTTGCGATTTCTGAGGCTGGTGACTCGGATGAACTTATCCTCAGAAGCAGAGGTGACTCTTGGTCTTCCTTTACTGGGTCGGTCCTCATGTGTGCCAGTTTCGTTGTAGCGCTTGATGGTTTTTGCGACTCCACTTGGGGACACATTTAAAGTTTTTGCAATTTTCCGGACTGACTGACCTTCATTTCTTAAAGTAATGATGGCCACTGGTTTTTCTTTAGTTAGCTGATTGGTTCTTGCCATAATATGAATTTTAACAGTTGTCCAATAGGGCTGTCGGCTGTGTATTAACCTGACTTCTGCACAACACAACTGATGGTCCCAACCCCATTGATAAAGCAAGAAATTCCACTAATTAACCCTGATAAGGCACACCTGTAAAGTGGAAACCATTTCAGGTGACTACCTCTTGAAGCTCATGGAGAGAATGCCAAGAGTGTGCAAAGCAGTAATCAGAGCAAAGGGTGGCTATTTTGAAGAAACTAGAATATAAAACATGTTTTCAGTTATTTCACCTTTTTTTGTTAAGTACATAACTCCACATGTGTTCATTCATAGTTTTGATGCCTTCAGTGAGAATCTACAATGTAAATAGTCATGAAAATAAAGAAAACGCATTGAATGAGAAGGTGTGTCCAAACTTTTGGCCTGTACTGTACCTTGGTACGGGCGCCACGGTTTGGTAACTCAAGTATTCCACCAAGTTTGTTTTGTCTTGTGTTGTCTCCCTTTGCGAGGCAGACTTTCTCTTTTTTTTTTTCACGTACGCCAGCTGCGAATGTTGATACAGGTGTTGTCATACACACCACTTGCACAATATATACTCCAATAGGAACAAGGAAGGCGTTCGTGTGCATAAATGAATTAAATAAATGAATGAATTGAATCAATTTAAAAAGTACCGGTATTTTCCAAATGCAGTATAGTACCGTTTGGAATACTCTAGTACCACGGTACTATTTTAGTACCGGTATACCGTGCAACACTACGTGATAGCGGTATCTGTGGGGATGAGAGAGAGATGAAGCCTATAGTATGCTCTATGTAACGTTAGCTGCTGAAACAACACTGTAAAATCCCTGTAACACAGTATGGAGCTGTCACAGATAACACTTCCTCAAGTGAATAGATTCTAGCCAACGGACCCATAGTCAAGGAATTTTGGGAAATGGAAAAAGGTTTGAGACGGTGAACACCCAAAGACACACCAACGTACCATGTTGTTACTAGCTAGCTAACGTAATCTCAGCCATATGTGGCTAAAAGTAACTACTGTGAAAAATCACCAATAAAAGCTTCTAAACTAAAATCTGGAAATGTTCCAGTAGGAATACAACGAGAAATCTTGACAAGGAATTAACCAAGATTACATGTTTCCTTGACGTTAGCATGTAGCTTGGTGTAGCAGTGTAGTTGCTGCCGGGGAAAATAGTTGCACTTTCTACGTCTAAATATCAACACATAATGTTAAAGCTTCTAAAAATAACTGGACATGTTCCGGCAGTAATATGATCTAAAATCAGGGAGAATCAACAACAGCAACCAAGATTACATGTTTCTCTGACGTAAGCATGTAGCTACATGTAGCTGTGTATGTAATGTAAATGCTTGCAAAAGTGATTAGATTCTAGCCAGTGGGCCCATAATCAAAGTATTTTGGGGAAATGGAACAAGGTTCAAGACGGTAAACACCTAAAGACACACCGACATACCATACGGTTACTAGCTAGCTAACGTAATCTCAGCTATATGTGGCTAAAAGTAACTACTATGAAAAATCACCATTAAAAGCTTCTAAACTAAAATCTTTACAACTGGACATGTTCCAGCAGGAACACAACGAGAAATCTCGAGGAGGAATTAACAACCAAGATTACATGTTTCCTTGACGTTAGCATGTAGCTTGGTGTAGCAGTGTAGTTGCTGCCGGGGAGAAAAGTTGCACTTTCTACTACCAAATATCAACACTTAAAGATTCGAAAGACAACTAGACATGTTCAAGCAGTAATATGATCCCAAATCAGGGAGAATCAACAACAGCAACCAAGATTACATTTTCCCCTGACGTAAGCATGTAGCTACATGTAGCAGTGTATGTAATGTAAATGCTTGCAATAGTGATTAGATTCTAGCCAGTGGGTCCATAATCAAAGTATTTTGGGAAATGGAACAAGGTTCAAGATGGTCAACTTGGCTAAATGTAACTACTGTGGAAAAATGACCAATAAAAGCTTCTAAACCAAAATCTTCACAACCAGACATGTTCCAGCAGGAATACAACGAGAAATCTCGAGGAGGAATTAATAACCAAGATTACATGTTTTCTTGATGTTAGCATGTAGCTTGGTATAGCAGTGTAGTTGCTGCTGGGGATAATAGTTGCACTTTCTAAGTATAAATATCAAAACTTAAAGCTTCTGAAAACAACTGGACATGTTCCGGCAGTAGTATGATCCAAAATCGGGGAGAATCAACAACAGCAACGTTAGCATGTAGCTACATGTAGCTGTATATGTAATGTAAATGCTTGCAGTAGTGATTAGATTCTAGCCACTGGGCCCAAAATCAAGGTATTCTGGGGACATGGAACAAGGTTTGAGACAACGAACATCTGAAGACACACCAATGTACCATGCTCTTACCAGCTATCTAACTTAATCTCAGCTACATGCAGCTAAAAGTTGCAGGCTGATTGATGGGTGGGTGTGGTGATATTATTGCTTGAGATAAGTCGGTACTAGCTTATGTAAGTTTACCAACGTTTGATATAAGAATATGAAGACTTAAAGAGACAGATGTAAGTATGGTGTCAGTCCTCATCTTATTTAACTCTTGGCAAGAAAGAAAATTAACGTGTTTCCCAAAAAGTTGAAATAGTCCTTAATATCAGGCACCAAAATAAAAAATAAAGAACTTGTTTGTCCAGAAATGTTTTTGCTTTTGGTTTAGGCTTTCTTTTCGTCTCCCTGCTGTCTGTCCATCCTACTTTCCTGCTTATGTCTTTTTTCTTTCCCCTCTTACTTCCTTTCAAATCATGCAACTTTCTTGTCTATCTATATTTTTGTCCTTCACTTCCATCTTCCCATCTATCATCCTCTAATCCGTCTCTTTCTTTCTTTTTTTCTTGTCAGATCATCCGTAAAGTGGACAAGCAGACGGCGCTGCTCGACGCTGACGACCCCGTCTCCCAGCTCCACAAGTGTGCCTTCTACCTGAAGGACACAGAACGCATGTACCTGTGCCTTTCCCAAGAAAGGATCATCCAGTTTCAAGTGAGCGTCGCACACTTTTTTCCTTTTTCCATCCGACGGCTTTTCACTCACAGACATCAATCCAGAGTGGAGGTCACTTACAGGTCACAGATGATTGAGGATGATTGCTTCAGAAATGGGGAGTGATCTCTTTACCTTTTGATTGGACTGAAATGGAAGTGAATTTGAGCACAATACTGCCTCTATTCATCGTCTTTATTGTGCAGCCTGGGGATATATTTTAGGTCAGGATGCTGTCTTTTCTTTGAAGAGGAGAGTGCAGTCCTCTCCACTACAGTGTTTTTACTTATTTAGATGGTCGTAAAGACAAAGAGGGACATTTGATTGAAGTCTCGAGGAGAGTAGTCGTGATTAGGTGCAGTTGTTGGTGGTTATCTCTGCCTCTGAGGTGCATTAAGGTGATGTCTCCCCCTCTGCCAGGCCACTCCATGCCCAAAGGAACCAAACAAGGAGATGATCAACGACGGCGCCTCCTGGACAATCATCAGCACAGACAAGGCTGAATACACTTTCTACGAGGGCATGGGCCCTGTCCACTCGCCTGTCACCCCCGTGCCTGTGGTAGAGAGCTTACAGGTACACACTGAGGACACAGTCCCTGAGCATGAATCTGGTCGCAGTGAGGGTTTAGTTTTCTTAAATTATCTTCTCTGACTACAGCTAAACGGTGGAGGCGACGTCGCCATGCTGGAGCTGACAGGACAGAACTTCACTCCAAATCTGCGGGTCTGGTTCGGAGACGTTGAGGCCGAGACCATGTACAGGTGCGTCTTTCACCTTTCTTGAAGGTCACTTAAGGCCAAAACACACCGCCGGCGAACAGTGTGCATCAAAAAATACCACCCCAGTTATTTTCGATGTACAATTCCACACTGAGGGAGAGACTTGTTGTTGAGATCAAAAAATAGCCTTCGCTTAACGACCCACAGTCCCGACCTGAAATAAGCTTTTATTTCAGGGTGTCCACACCTGATTTTAAGCTAATGCAGAGGTGGAAGAGGTGCAGATCTTTCAGTAAAAGTAGTAATGACTTTGTTTGGTCATCTGTTAACAAGCTGCAGCTGCCGATGACAGCAGCGGTGTCTTTTCAGCTGGAGTTTTGTCAAAAATATTGGTTCAGTACTCATTTTCCGCAGTATCGATACACCGCTAACAGGTGCGCTTTTTTGCTCGCTTTTATTGTTAAAGTTTACTACTGTCATTCTGCTGTTCTCTGCTACTAACCAAGAAGACAAAAGTTGTCACTGTCGTGTTATAGCCTTGTTATATTCATCTTTTAATACAAATTTTAAACTTTATGCCCTTAGTGTCAGTTCTTTTTTCCCCCGCGGTATCGAAAATCTAATCATATCGTCTCGATGAGCGATATTTTTCAAGATATTGTCTTTCTATACCTAGAAAATCCAATATCGTGACACTAGGTCAGTTTACGTTTATTTTATGTCATTTTATTATTTTTTTAATTGTTGCAATTTAACATAGTTCCAATACATTATGGAACTGACTTAGTTTATAGCCATTGCTAATTTTCAGCTCATGTCCCTAGTTGGGCTTTTTACGCGTAGACCTAAAATGGTATTTGATATTTAAAGTTTGTGTTCTTTTGTATTGTTTTTGTCCTCTGTCCACTGTTACTTTCGAGAAGAATTTTAAATTGAATAATAGTCGCTTACAAAAGTCGGTTTAAAGTCACATGTTGTTTTGTTTTAGCTTTTTTTTAGTCCATCAAGCTTAGTTTTCATGTCAGTCTAATTTAATTCAATATTTATTTTTTGTCATATTTTCACGATAACTGTTTTTTTTTAGTGAACAATATTTTACCTGGCTATAAAATTTCCAGTTAGAAGTAAAGAGACCTTGAGCTACAGCATGTTTAGTCATCCAGGCAGAGAGTGTGTCACCAACTTACCATCATTTTTTCATATAGTATAATAATGAATGCCTGAAGTTTTTTACTTAACTACAATTTTTAAAAACACATAGGTAAAACCAAACAATCTAACTGATTGTTAGCCATGATATGATAGCCGTCTACAATGGCAACAATGTCTACATAACAGTATCACTCCGCGTTTGCCTTGGTCTAAATCATAGTTGTATAAAGAGAGCTGGAGACAGAGTTGGAGGTGGGGCCCTGGTCACTCCTATGAAAGTTGCCCAGTGGTGCATGAAGCTGAAGAAGTTTGATTTCCTGGGTATAAATTTACCTGGATCTTCCGCATTATTAGGCACACTAGAGACTTCCACCAGCTGAGCAGCTAACCTTCAGTTTAGCCTTCCGCGAACTTAAATGGGGATGAAATGTGGCTCTTATAGACTTACGAAATGTTGTCGGACCGAGTGGATCAAATTCTGATAATGAAATGAGACATTTTGGAGGGGTTGTGATGCTCAAAAAATGTATCCACTGATTTACAGAGGTTTCTTTCACAATGTTGGTCTATGGGGAAAAGTCTTTTTGGGTCACAGGGCATCACGTAATGGACCTGGAAGTTGTAATTACACAGTTTGGTCAAATTGGCGCACTTCCCGGGGGCTTGATGTGAGCTAGTCTCCGAAACTAATTAGCCAGCTCACAAACTGCTAAAAACGGATTTCAAGTTGCTACAGCCATTAACTGGAGGTACGTCTACAGAACAGCTGTCCGCTCTCCTCACAGCAAAGTAGTCTTGGAGGGGCAGAGGGACCGCGGTGTGATAATTAAAATAAGTTAGTACGTTGTACTGTGTGTCTGTTTCTCTGTAAAACCAGTGCTAAATGAAGGCTTTGAAGTCGAAATCGTCTGTATCTCGTAACTGTTGTAAAGGATTGAAAAGCAGCTCTTCCAATTAGCGGATGACCTGCTCTACCTCTGAGCCACAGCCACCCCCCACCCCCCCCAAAAAAGCAGCAAAAGCTCACTTCAGGCCTCGAAATGTTATAATTGCGATTATGATTATCAGAGCTAAGGGGGTTGTTGGCCCTATGTGAATGCCACTTAATTGGGTTCTCACTGATCATGGAAGTGATGCGAAGCTCGCCGATTTTCTGTTGAGCGAGAAACACTGCCTGACTCCTCACCAGACCACTCTCGGTGCTCTTTCCAATTCTTGCCCCAAAATTAGATCCTCTGGATTTCTTTCTCTTCATCAGCATACAAATTGTCCATTATGACTAATTTGAGGATTTATTAGGAATCACAGTCACAGAAAATGATTGCCTTCAAGTTTAATGAATATAAAGCAGATATGGATAAGTCGTTAGTGTCATTTGAATTAATAAAAGCTTTTAAAATGCTCCCAGTCAGACAGATCCTGTGAAGGTCTAATGGTCTGAATCTCATGAGTCAGGTTGTATCATCCTTCTTCTTCAGACCTGTGCAGAGGTTATGTTGCTCTGAGTGATCCCAAAACCTTTCAAGAGCAGAAGTGATTCACAGACAGGTGATATTTTATGTGTCCATCAGTGCCACCCAGCAGGCATTAGGTCGGAGACAGTGGGGGAACATGAATGACTGCTGTCAGAGAAACACTGCAGCATCACAGACCTCTAGCCTGAGGCTCAGACAGCATCCACACTGGCACAATCCTGACACATCCCACGTGGGCTAACCCCGAGTTTAGCCTAGGGTTAACTGGCTATGCTCTGGAGCAGGGTTATCCTCTGAAAGTGGACTTAACCCAGGGCTAAAAGTTGACAGTGTGACACGACGTTAAGTAAGCACGAGAATTTAGGGATGTTCAAACTGATATATGACCCAGGGCCCGTAGAGGTGTAAGTCATATAGCCCAGGGCTAAGGTCGACCCTGGGTTAACAACGTGTGTATGAGAAGGGGCCGCGAGCCTGTTTAGACCAGGTATTAACAAATAAAGACGTGAATCATTTCTGTTTGCAAACACCAAATGTGTTGTTGTTTTTAACTAGCTGGAGGGTTGCAGTGCCGCACACTTACAGCCTTTATTATTTTCAACTTGTAGACATTGTAGATGTTTTCTTCTGATAGTGTTCATGGTTTGTGTCAATGTTAGCTCACTTTCAACGTCTCCTTATTAGGCAAGCAGCAACACATACCTAAACGAATTGTACCCCCAACTACTTTATACCATTTTACGAACTATAGTTCGGCCCGACGATTGACAGCAGAGCATCAGACTGTCCCTGTCTCATTCTAAAATAAGCCTTGAGCTGACCATCCCAGAGCAGCGCCTACTAGCTCACCTAGTAGAGCTGGCGTCCTGTCTACAAAAGCTGTATCCTTACTGTAGCGGCCATGGGTTTGATTCCAACCCACGGCCCCCTGCTGCATGCCACCCCCCTCTCTTGCCCAGATTTCTACGTACTCATTAGTTTAAAGTCCACACAGTTAACATATCCAGCGTCATTCTTGCATTTGGCCATGTCCTTAAGCTAGTTTGCTGTCTCTCGAGTGCTTCTCAAAGTCAAGAATGCTTCATTGGTAGGACAGGTCCTTCCAAGCCGGGTTCTACAGAGGCTAGGCGAGACACCCCCCAGCATTCGGTGAACACACACGGGAACAGGCTAGGGAGTGTCCAGGTGCAGCCCTGCCTTTAATTCCAGGAAATCATGCATTAAGAATTGTTGCTACTTTGTTCCCCCTGAGGATACAAACATGCATCATTGAAAATTCTCTGAAGGAAGGACTCCGTCCTGGGTCAAATTCAAGGCATCTTTGACATTGGAACAGTCCCTCAGTGGGATTCGATGTCGTAGCCTCCTTGAAATTCAGCCATTTAAGGATACTTCCTCAAATTTGAGAGGCACCATCTGTCAAGTAGTTGTCCGTTGGTCACTCACTCTACAGCAGAAAACTTCATACATTCGCAAGCCACTTGCGGTCCATTCACATATTTATTTTCTACTTTTGGAGCTGGATCTATAAAAACACCGTTCGGTTATTCATTACACCACACTCTCAGAGTGCAGAGCGTACTTTGGGCACAGGCGGAGCAGCAGAACGCCAGGCGCAGTGAAAGTGAAACTTAATAGATCATTGCGCTGATTCTTAAAGTTTGCTTTCACTCGCCTGTGCAGCTGCTCCTCTAATCCTCTGATCTGATCTCATCGGAGCTGATCAGTTGTCAACCCCACAACTTCACAAACTCCTGCTGCTAAGGAAGAAAAAAAATAAATGAAGGGTTCAGCCTATGCTGCGTTCAATGACCTGTAAAAAGTCCTGTTAAAAGTCACACATTTGGTAAAGATAAGTATCTCCAATTTATTGTCTGTCCACCTATAAAATACTTGTTCTGTTAGGGTGGTTACTAGCGTTAACATCGTCAGTTTAAACGTGAATTAACAAATCAATCAATCAGTTTGTCAAGCACAGACAAAAATCTGATGACTCTAACATGTGTCGTTTCCCTTCTTCCAAACTATCCACAGGTGTGCGGAGAGCATGCTGTGCGTGGTGCCCGACATCTCCGCCTTCCGCGAGGGCTGGCGCTGGGTGCGGCAGCCCGTCCAGGTGCCCGTCACGCTGGTTAGGAACGACGGCATCATCTATTCCACCACACTGACCTTCACCTACACGCCGGAGCCCGGGCCGCGGCCACACTGCAGCGCTGCCGGGGCCATCCTGCGGGCCGGGAACGCCAGCCTGCTCAGCAACAACAGCCAGGAGGCCGGCGCCGGCGTCTACGGCCCCAACAGCACCTCCAGCGCGGGAGTCACATCCTCATCCTCCACCGCCGCAGCCGTGGTCTCCTAACGCACACAGGGGGCCACTCAATACGTATATGCCTTGAGAGCAGATGTACCACAAGGTATATAAAGACTATGGGAAATAATAAACAAAGACTGACTCACTCTAAAGTGCTGCGTAATTTTGGATACAAAGAAGCTGAAATGGAAAAAAAAAAAAAAAATTCGGTGGGAGAAACGGAGCAGGGGAAATCTGAAGGAGGAGTGACATCACAAGCGGACGGGAATAAGTGCTCCTTGACACGCCCCCCCCTCTCCTGTGGTTACTTTAGGGACCTGCCTATCCAGTTCTGGTGTTTGGAATGAGTGAAGTTCCTGCAGGCTCAGAGCACCAGCACCTTTCTACGGCTGCGAGAAACCACAACAACAATACATCCACAAAATAAAAAAATCTCCTCAAAGTATATTTTTGCGCCGCCCTGCTCCCCTTCCTCCTCCTCCTCCTCCTCCCCCTCCCCCCTTCCCTCCCACCACTTGTTTTATAATTATTCCTTTTGTGTTATTTTGCATTGATTTGTGGTTTCCTAAAGGGGGCTGGATGTATTGTTGTTGGAGGGAGGATGCAGAGGGACACACATAAAAAACGTGACGATAACATAGTTTTTATGGACCAAGGATCTTGTATAAGCTTTAGTAAAGGTACATTTTTCTCCATACCTTTTTTGTATTAAACATATAGTACACTTTTGTTACCAAATAGTTTCTATTCTTCCTCTGAGCTTGGGCTTTGTTTTCCCCCCTTTGAGGTCCAAAATCCCAACCTGTATGTTATTACGACCTTACAACAAACAAACGCCTGCTTTTTCAATCTTTGGATTGATTTTTTTTTTTTTTTTTTTTTTATACTCTTGCTTCTTCTGTCGGGAAAAAAATCTGAAGTCTGGGTTGTTTATTTACATAAGCGAAGGTTGTTTTTGTTTTGTTTTGTTTTTTTTAAATTGGGGAATAACCTCAGAGGGCCTATGTTTTATCATTGGTTTTTATGAAGTCTTTAAAAAGAAAAGCTTTAAGCAACGCCTCTGCCTTGCCTGCAATACTCTATGTGCGCTATGTCTCCTTCAGAAAGTATACACATCAGTACATCTCACATGGAGCCATAGCAACACTTTGCAGAATACGTGAAAAACTAGACTTCCACGGTTACGAGAAACGAGTCAAACTAATGTAACAAAGCGTAGTCGTTGATTTCAAAGGATAGCCTTAGTACTGTATATTCTTACTGTGTACACAGTCAAACCGCTCACATATCTAATATCCTGTATCTGTTGCTCTATCAGTCACTGTTAACGTATCTACGGCTACGTTCACATCATGGGGCTCAGCGCTCAAGTCCGATTGTCTCTCCATATCCGATTTATCTGCCTGGACTGTTCACATTCATGTGCGTTGGACAAAAAACGTCACATTTGCAAAACGTAGACGTGAAGGCTTACTTTCCCAAAGGATTACCGCAGCAGGAACATCTGATGATGTCATTCAGCATGCTGATTAGCCAGTTGCTTCTGTTTGGGAGAGTGTGGAGTAGTTTTGGAGCAACGCCCATTTGTTTTCAGAATACCAGGCTGTCGTACAAATCGGCTTTCGGTCCGCTAGCTCTGTTAGCAAATCTGTGGAGAGTCAGAAGTGTCGGGTCAAGATAGGAACAGTTCTTCCAAACCCAAACAGCCACTTTTAGGGGCTGAAAAAAATAGGCTAATGCCAAAACTGCAGTTCCTCTAATGACCACTAGAGGCTGGCTCCAAAGTCAGTTAATCCCCATAGACCCCCGTGTTAAAATGAACAACTTTACATCAGAAATAAACGTGTTTACAGCCTGGTACAAAAACAGTTTTGGGCTTTATAGCTAATTTTAACATTCGTGACAACTGTATGGGTGTTTGTTTAAGGGCGTGGCCGTTATCAGTGATTGACTGTCTGCTGATAACGTCCTTGGCTTCTCAGTCAGATCCAGCCCTTGCTCTTCCATGTTAACGTCCATGCCGCTGGTTCCAAAAATTCAAGATGGCAATGGCTACATGCCAAACTGGAGGCTTCAGACGGGCACTCTACAAACCACTGGGTGATGATATGGTAGCTACAGCCAAAATGAGTTCCTCCGTGGGGTGTCTGGGTTCAGCCTTAGAGATATAGGGTAAGGAACTCGGACATCTTGAGGGAGCTCGGAGTAGAGCCGCTGCTCCTTCGTGTTGAAAGGGGTCAGTTGAGGTGGTTTGGGCATCTGATCAGGATGCCTCCTGGGCGAAGGCTAAAGGTGTTCCAGGCACGTCCCACTGGTAGGAAGCCCGGGGGAGACCAAGAACACACTGGAGGGATTACATATCTCATCTGGCCTGGGAACGCCTTGGGGTCCCCCAGGAGGAGCTGGAAAGAATCGCTGGAGAGAGGGACATCTGGGGGGCTTTGCTTTGCCTGCTGCCCCTGCAACCCGGCCCCGGATAAGCGGATGAAAATGGGTGGATGAATGGATGGTAGCTACGTCCATTATTTTATACAGTCCATGTCCAAACCCCCCAGCTGAGGTCTGGATTAAGCCCCAATTGTCCTCAAATTCTAGAAACACCCCTGTGTACATCTGACCTGTGCGGGGCTTGACTTGTTTATTCATTTTATCTGATACATATTATTGTTTGTTCGTTAACTGGCCCCTGCCCTTTTACAAAAGTGGGCCGTAGGCCAAGCAAGTTGAGTATCCCTGCTTTGGGACGTCCAAGTCTATTTTCCAATATCTCTCTCGGTGCCTCGTAACAGCGCCGTCACGGCATGAAAATACTTGGCAGTTGGGCTCTATTGGCAATCCTACCGCAGAGGCGACACGGCAGCTGTCTGTAGCGTAAACCCTGGATGTATAAAGAGACCTGGATACAGCGTTTGAGGCGGGGCCCTGTTCATTCCTATGAAAGTTCGTCAGTAGCGCATGAAGCCAAGAAAGCTTGATGTTTCTGCTGTATGAAAATACCTGGATCTTCCATACTGTGGGTACCCTAGAGACCTCCACCGGCTGAGCAGCTAGTTAACTTGAATGGGGATGAAAATTTAATCGTGAGGCTCGTCTAGACTTTCGAGATGTTATCGGACCGAATGGATCAAAGTCCACAGGGGTTGTGGTGCTCAAAAAAATTATCCACTGATTTACAGACAGCTCTCTCCCAATGTAAGTCTATGGGAAAAAGTCTTTCTGGGCCCAGTGGCGTCACCTAGTGGACCCAGAAGTTGTACTTCCATGTTTCGCCGCTATGTAAAATTGGCTTCAAAGCCTGGTGCTGTTTTCGGGGGACTTGGGTTTAATGGACCGCTCTGACTCTACATGGTGAAGAATGACATGGAAAAACATGGATGTATGAAGAGAAATACACGAGTTCTGGTGGTGACCGTTCTCGCAGCGGTCGCCAGTGATCGGATCTAGGAGCACATAAGAAAGTGGCCCAGATCCGAGTGGAAGAAAAAGGATTTCTGCGTCCACACCACTCTGGAAATATCCTATCTGTGTGACTTGAGAGCTAAAAGAAATCAGATTTGAGCCTCAGTTGCTGGTGATGTGAACGTAGCCGTAATGTAGTGAAACTTCGTCTGTCAAAGCTGCACCTAGCGAGGTGTCTTCCAGTGTGTGCTGTAGTTCTGGTGGCATTTAACTCCAGTGGTTCTCCAAAAAAAAAAAAAAAAGACAAAAAAAAAAACACTTTACAATTTTGATGTGGCCTTACCGATAACTTCAATTCCATAAAAAAAATACTTCACCTTTTCTTCTCTGCTGTTTACTCACGTTGGAAGAACCTGTGCGTAGCACAAAGACAAGCTGATGCCTCGCTTCTATCACAGGAGCTCTGCTGTCCTCGGGCTCGTCGCTGCGGCTCCAGATCCACCCTGTCATGCAAAAAGCAGCCTTCAGAAGGATTTATTCAGCCTTCGCCTGTTCTCATTTGGTGTACAAGTACAATAAAGCCCGTTTTTTATTCTCATGCGGTGCCCAGCACCTTCTCACTTTTGGTACAATGTCTCACGAGCGCTGTAAGCTCCCTTTTTCAGCCTTCTTTTTAAAACAAAAAAAATAAATATATCTCCTGTGGTTTATTATCTTTGCAGAAACAAAGCGTGTGTACGTTGTCACTGTCCGAGTAGTTGCACTCATCCGTGTTCATGCCGACCGCGTCTCCTGTAGGAGTATAAAGGCCTTCTAAATGTGTGTTATTGAAGATGTGCATTTTCCAAACAGAACAGCAATATTGTACAGGTCATTTCATGGTTTATCTGTCCGCCTGAGCACTAGTTCACCAGCCAGCAAATACGTGTGTGTGTGTGTGTGTGTGTGTGTGTGTGTGTATAGTTGCTGTAATGGAATATTGAGTCAGACTCGCTCCATTTCAAAGTGTTCAAACTTCTCTCCAAAAAAATAAACTTGAGATTCACGGGGTTTTATCTGTCTTCCACCAGGATCCAAATGTCTGATGATAATAATAATCGTGGAGAAAACATTCAAAGGCAATACGTGTGATCTTAGTATTACAGTACGACTGTAAACACTTCCGGGGAAATTAAAAAGAAAATAACTTGAATGTCTGCTTATTAATGAAGAATTTTTACAAACCTTTGAAATAGGAACAAAAAAGGATTGCACCCCCTTCGATGTAAAGAAAAAGATTTAAGTTATGCCCCCGCGTTTCGCCACCCTCGCCCACCTGTCGGTCATTAATGTTAAATGTTTTATATTGTAATATTGATATTTTTTAAATTATTGGTACAAAGTCTCCCCTTGTCTTATGTCAGAATAAAAAAAAAAGTGCATTATTATTGCCCGTGCTGCCTAGGTTGGCCTGGGAGTTTTTTAAAAAAGAGGCCACTTCCTGTCCATCCTGGAAAATGTCGAGGAGTTGTAGGTGCAGCGGCGGCGGCAGTGTAGCGTCAAAATATCACGCATTCCTTCACGAGCTGCAGGTCAACCCCTGAAACCCTTTACTCTGCAGGATGGAGGTCACAAAATCTTAACTGTAGATTTTTAACTTGAGTGTTTTTTCTACTAGCTCTAAAAATTCAGCGAGTTTTTAACATAGCCTCTGCATTAGCATCACCCTTCCTCTTCCTCTCCCCTCCCTCCTCCTCCTCTTCCTCCCTTGAGCTTGGATATTTTTGGGTTTTTGTTTACATGCTGAGTCGCCTCTTACGGCTAACCACCTCTGGCTCCTCTTCATCTCCTCACGCGAGTCTGAATAGAGCAGCTTTTGTCACGTCCGCTCAAACTAATAAAGGGGGTGATGCATGCTTTTTCAAAAAATGTGTCGCCTTGACAATCTGAGCTGGTTTACAGTTTTCGGGAGGATGTCTCACTCGTAACGAGCTATCACAAGGGGTCAAAAAGAAAATGTTACATGCCTTCTTAGAATCGCACGCTGCATTAACCTGGCGACAAAGCTTTCAGAGAGGAAAGAAAAGAATCATTAGCGATGCTTTTACAGAAAAATAACCGGTTCTCTTTGTGTGTCTGGTCATATTTGTTTTTACTCTTCCAAAAGCAGCTGTTCTTGTGTTTGTTTGTTTTTTTATAATGAGCTCTGAACAATGTATGTATCCTCTAATATGCCAAATGTCTTTTATAATGTAGTTTTCATGCACTGCTAAACAAAACAGGGCAGAGTGAGAGGCAGCTTTAAACAGATAACTTTAGAAAAAGAAGAAACAAAAAAAAGGAGTGTGGAGCCCTTCTCTGTCGCACTCAGCCTTACTTTCTCCTTAAGACTATTTGGCTGTTTGCACTACAGAGCGCTAACCTTTCTTTACTCTCACACATTCATCCTCACTCTTTCATGTTCATGTATGTACATTTGGAGTTTCCTCCCTTTTTCCTTCTTGTTTTTAACAGCCTGTTATGCTTAGCTTTGCTCCAGTTGAATCACTTTTTTCGTTCCTCCTCTTCCTCCTCCTCCTCCTCCTCCATGTCCTTTCACTCTCACTGTATCTGTGTATTATTCTAGTAAATGGTAAGCAGAGGTGTCATTGTGGTAGTATACTCAGTGCTCAAAGGGTTGCTGATGGTAGAAACCTGTGCCGTTTGTAACATTTTAGCAATAACGTCAAAAACAAAGGGGACGGTTTTGTTTTTTTGTTTTGTTTTTCTTTTGTTTTTTTTTGTTTGTTTTTTTATAACATACGTTAGTTTTGTTTTTGTACATATTGCAGCTCCAGATCATGCTCAAATCTGTATGTCATTAAAAGAAGAAAAGAAAAAAACGAGAAAAAAAAACTTGCAATATTGGCATAAAAATGAGAAATAAAAAAGTGATATAAAATCTCACTTTGTGTTTCATTGTTTTTTTAATCGTCGTTGTCAGAAGCATTTTTTTTTACACTTTAGCTGAAAGAGTACAAATGAATAAGTTGTGTTTCCTTCCTCCGTCCAGTGACTGTAAAAGGGACAGTTCACCCCAAAATCAAAAATACATGTTTTTCCTCTTACCTGTAGTGCTGTGTATCAGTCTAGATTGTTTTGGAGTTGCAGAGTGTTGGAGATATCAGCCGTAGAGATGTCTGCCTTCTCTCAAATATAATGGAACTAGATGGCACTCTCAGCCTCAGCCTCTCATCCATGAGTAGATGCACGCTTCCTTCTGCATGGTGATACAGTTGCCGGGTGTGGTCCAGTTACTCAAGATAATCCACAGACCTTGTTGTGAGCAGTTTCATGCAGGAACTATTTTCTTTTTACCAAACTGCCAACCGCATCACAGTGCAGAAGGAAGAGTGCATTTACTCATGAACAAAAAGCTTGTGACAGTGCAAGATGGAAACATTAATGGCGTCCTCCTCGGCTGAGTTGTAACGCCAGCTCAGCGGTGCTAGGTGAGCTAGCAGGAGGTGTGCGCTCATTTTTGCGCAGTGATTTGGTTGGCAGCTGGCTCATGGGGGACCAGAATGGTTATTTAAAGGCATCTGTTCCTCTACTGTCAATGTAGAGCACGTTCAGGCACAAACTACTGTTCGTTATGATTTAATTGTGAAGACATTAAAAAAATTACAGCAGACAACAGTAACAAAGTGAATCCCAGTTCTTATGGGGGATACAGCCTACAAGCTAGCTAGCAAGCTAGGAGGTAGCACTAAATGTTTTGAGGCCAGTTATAAAAAGCTAGATTGTAAGATCAAGTTGGTACAAATGACCTGCCCCACTTGTTTTTATCAAAGTAACAAATATTGGTAAAATGATTTTAAAAAATTGACAAAAAAAGGAGTTATCTACTGCTAGCTCACCTAGCACCGCTGAGTTAGCTAACGTTGCAGTTCAGCTGAGGAGGCCACCATTAATGTTTACTTTTTGCGTTGTTGTGAGCATGAGCCTCACATCCATGAGCAAAGAAGAAAATAGAAGAAAAAAACTATTAATTCCTTTAAAATCGTGATTTAACTCACTTTTTGTCAAATTTTTAAGTCATCCAACCAATATTTGTGACTTCGATGAAACAAGATGGGCAAACTAACAATTGTTAAGTGTTTACATTACACTCAATTATTTACACTAACTAGCTAACTAGGAAGTTAGTAAGCTAGCAAAGCTAAGAAAACTGACAGCAAACAACAGTGATGAAATCAATCCCAATTATTTTGGAGGATACAGCCTGCGGGCTATCACTAAATGTTTCGCTACCGGCGATTTATAAACTAACAATTGCTTAGTGTTTACATTACAGAAGTATTTTGTACCAGCTTGAGCCTAACAAAGCTAGCTAGCTGGCTAACCTCTCATCCATGAGTAGATGCACACTTCCTTCTGCGCTGTTATACGGTTGGTGGGTGTAGTTCAGTAGAAAGAAAATAGTTCCCACATGAAACTGCTCACAACAAGGTCTGTGGATTATCTTGAGTAACCAGGTCATGATTTCTGGAAAGAGACATTGCTGTTGAGTTGTTCAAATGCATGTTTTGGCACTTTGAGCCCCACAAGCTGAGTGACGATCTAGTTCCATTATTCTGGAGAGAAGGCAGACATCTCTGGGACTGATATCTCCAACACTCTGCAACACACTGAAAAAATCTAGACTGATAATCAGCACTACAGGTGAGAGAAAGAAAATATATTTTTGATTTGGGGTGAGCTGTCCCTTTAAGCATCTCCCAGGGCTTTGGGCGTCTACCAAGCCCAAATGGAGCTCTTATCCTTGGGAAGAAGTCCCAGCAGATTCCCCCCTCTTCTTTCCGCCACTTGTCTTGGCCCTAATGCCCTCTGTCCTTTAAATCCACTTTTATTAAAGCCGTTAAAAGCTCCATGTTACTCTGCCCCGAGCCTGAGCCGACGCATTAGCACACTGGGCGCCCAAGGTCTTTATATGGTCAACCAGACGATCGTTATTCAGAGATGGCTCGTGTGTCTGTACATAACAAAAAGAACACAATGCTGTCCCTAAAACCGCTTTCAGATATATATAAAACCACTGGTTACATTCAGTTATGTGCAGGTTTAACAGGACTTAAGTCAAAATAGGCACATTATCATGCAAAACAACAATATACTTCAAAATCTCCATCAATGCATCAAACCTGAACGCACAACTTTTTACAACAATATTAACATTGAAACATATGGAAACAAAAAACAGGATAAGTTGCTACATGAACACTGCTATATTTAACAGTATGAGTGAGTGGAAATCAGGTGGGTGATGCCGGGAATTCGCTCTTTGAAGACGAAGGGATACAGGTGTTCAAAGTCCCACTGAATGATAAGGCCTCTCCAGTTCCCATAGTACACTCAGTACAACGCCTGTAGGCACACACACACATAAACACACATACGGTACACACACAGTAGGTCAAGGACGAGAGCAGGGCTGTTTGTGCACCGGAGGACTGTTTTGAAGCTGCTGAGTACAGATACACTGCAGTGTGACAGGCAGCCGCTGCTGAAGATGCCAAATACAAGCCTATTTACTAAGATGAGGGTTTTTAAAGGACCACACCAGTCAATTTTTGTGTTCGCAATTCCCTTAAAATCATGGATAGATAATATCACTGCTATTTTGGGTACACAATATTTTTATGTGTTTTCCTGATTTCCAGGCAGCCAGTTATTTTTAATTATTTATTTTATTATTATTTATTTTGTATAAGATTTATAACAATACCTAGATACCTGGGGCCGGATGTACAAAAAAACCTTAAGTTATGATTTTCCTTAAAGTTCTAGTTAGGGTTTCCTCAAAATAAAATAGGTTGCACAAAACACCCTTAAGTTAAGATCTTCCTTAAAGTCCTAGTTAAGGTTTTCTCAAAATAAAATCAGTTAAGTTAAGATCTCCTTAAGAAATTAATAAAATTGGTTGCACAAAACATCTTCTGTTAAGATTTTCCTTTAAGTCCTAGTTAAGATTTCATCAAAATAAAATTGAGCTGCACAAAAAACCCTTGAGTTAAGATCTTTCTAAAAGACCTGGTCAAGGTTTCCTAAATAAAAAAAAAAATCAGTTGCATAAAATACCTTAAGTTAAGATCTTCCTTAAAGTTCTAGTTAAGGTTTCCTCAAAATACGTAAGGAGAAAACTTACGGTGTTTTGTGCAATCAGTCCCAAAATGGCATCTATTCATTCCAATGTTGCTTGTCTGGTGCATAGGCCCCAAAAACTTTCTAGATTCTCCGTCTACTTCTACAGACCACTGAATATGCGCAGTAGTGTTTCTCCCGCTGGCAACAAACTAAAACGTAAGCTTTGAAATATGGCGGAGTGTCAACTAACATCCTGTACATTATACACAGTTTGAAGTTAAGGAGCTTTACTTCCAAAAACACTGACATGGTTGAGTTTCAAAGTTCAGTCTCGACCTTGGAGCGGAGCTTTTCAAGAGCTTTTGATCTAAGTCAGTTTTCACTGGCACATGGAGTTCGCCAGTTGCCATTGGAGATGTAGATCATAATATGTAGGAGTTCTTGTTCATGTTGGTTTGAAAGATGGGTTTTAAAGTTCATGCTCGACCTTGGACGATTCCCATGGCAACTAGACAAACTCAATATGCTGGTAAAGATGAGATACGTTCAAAGGCTCCGGAACAGGTACAATGAGTTGCCCTTCAGGTGAGATTCTTTTGACAGCGTATGTAGTTATGGAGACATATCACCAAGGTTGAGTACTTGAAAAGCGTCATTAGTGTTTTTTTTTATTCCAACTTAGATGAAGCATACCATGATGTAATCTTTTTTTGTTAGGAGAAAGAAAATATACATAATTTTTTGTAATATGGATGAACTGATCCTATCATGCAGTCTTAAGGCTCTTTTATACTTTCTTTACATACAAAATAGATACATCCATCCTTTTATCCATTTTCATCCGCTTATCTGAAGCGAGGTTGTGGGGGGCAGAGGGCCAAGCAAAGTACTCCAGACATCCCTCTCCCAAGAGACGCTTTCCAGCTCCTCCTGGGGGACCCCAAGGTGTTCACAGGTAAGACAAGATATGTAATCCCTCCAGCATGTTCTGGCTCTGCTACCAGTGGGACGTGCCCGGGACACCTCTAACAGGAGGCGCCCAGGAGGCATCCTAATCAGATGCCCGAACCACCTCAACTGACCTCTTTTGACGCAAGGGAACAGCAGCTCTACTCCGAGCTCCCTCTGGATGTCCGAGCTCCTTACCCTATCTCTAAGGCTGAGCCCAGACACCCTTCAGTGGAAACTCATTTTGGCCGCTTGTATCCATGATCTCATTCTTTCGGTCACTACCCAGAGTTCATGACCATAGATGAGGGTTGGGACGTCTTTTCACTATATTACCAATTTGTTCTGCCATTATTCAAATTTCTTTATCATTTCCTATGGTTGTATTTTACTTGAACTATGCTACACTGCCTTTAAGATCTATGGTGGTACTGCTCCGTGTCATTTGTATCCGCAAGCCTTCAGGTAACGTGTCCAACTATGGATGAAATGAATGCAGACAACGGATGACCCTTCAGGTCTGGATGACCCAGGGCTGAAAGTAGTTTTAGGATCCTACTTGTCAGAATTAAACAAAGGTATTATATCCAGACTATATAAGGGGTTTAGGTCAACGAAATCCCATTCCACCTTAATTTCAAGGGAGGAATGGTATAGTTATTGTAGCTTTCGATGGAAGTGCACTAGTTGAAGAGAATTTGGTTGGAAATGTCTAATTAGATTCTTCAATACCCCAGAGCAGAAAGCACTACCGCGCTACATGAGAGGATCCCAAGTGCTGGAGACTGTGCGGGAGCCAGGATGCAAATCACTGGCATATATTTTGGGAGTGCCCTGTAGTAAGACAGTTCTGGTCTAAGATGCACAAAATACTGGAGGGCATTTCTACCATTAAAATAATTATTTAATACTTTTATTTTAGGAAAAGCTGGGCGACCGATGAGTGGTGAAGGCTGGTGGTACATTCGCAGTAGTCGGCCCAAAGCTTTGGAACAGCTTCCCCTTTCCAATAAGTGCTCCCCCTCTGTAGACACATTGAAATCTAGGCTGAAGACCCACATGTTTTCTGAGGCCTTTGATTGTCCTTAAGTCTTTCATTATTTTATTTTCAGACTTTTCTGTGCTTTACTTTCCTTTTTTCCGTTTTTCTTGCGAATGTTTTTGGGTTTGTTATTTCTCTGGTGTTTTGCTGTTACCATGTTATTTTACTTATTTTATTTTACTGTACATCACCCTGGTCAACTCTGGTTTTGATTTGATTTGATTTGAAAGCTGACTTTCAACTTGGACACTTTAACGAATACTTCTTCGGTGTTCTGATATCTGCCAGTAGGAAAACCATCACAAGATATTGGCTGCTGGACAGATATCGTTAATGAAATATACATAATGCAAAGAAATACCTTCTCACTTCGCCTACGAATGAACAGACTTACGAAGCAGTGGTCGAAGTGAATTCCGTATGTGCGACAGTTGCAGCAACGTTTTTGGGTGTTGCCAAATTAATAGAGCCCCTAAAGGATGCCTGGTCTCCTAACTAACTTAATTGGAATGCCTCCCAGTTTGATAATGTATACCTTTGTTACACATTCCTTTTTCGTGATGTAGAGAACTTTATAGGGTACGCACTTGTTAAATAAGGGTAATGAGGAAAGAAGGTCTGAAGTCATGCTGTTCCACAGCTGTGAACCTACAATACTCTCTGCATCTGCACGTATATATATTTAGTAAATATATTTACTGTACTCTTTTTCTTTTGGTAATTGGTTGTCTGCTTGCAATTAACCCTTTAATATAAAAAAAGATTGTGGTTTTGGAAATGTCTCATCTGGTGCAAAACATCGAAAGGTATGGAGAGACTATTTGGCCGCTGTAATGTGTTTTAAGATGGTAGTAAACTACGTTAATTGGGTTTCTGCTTCATAGAAACACTCAAAGTCTTCCTATGTCAGACTTTAGGTCCTTCAAGGTTTTACATGATCAGGCATCAGTCAGCCACCCCGCGAGCTTTAGGGAAACATCCTGCTCTGTGAGAGCACTGAATGTACTCTTCTGCTCCACAGTCATTAAATGTAGAACCTGTGTCATGTCACACTCCGAGCTAAAGCTGCTCATAAACTAGTCCTATAAGCACTGTGAGGGCTTTATGTTGAAACAACACACTGCAGATTCCCTTCAAGTGTTTGTACTCAGGCCAGAGCTCTTACACACACTCACACACACACTCTCGCACATATCCATCCAGTTTAAGTCAGCTCACTCCAGGCTGATGCACGGATGCCGGTGTAGGTGAAGCGTGTGCTGGCTCCATTTGGCGGGGTATGACCATTCTGCTCATTGGTCTTTGGCCCCGCTCTCGTTCTGCCCATTTCCCCTCTAGTCATCCTGCTTCCAGTTGACCTCCCCAAGCCACTGCTCGCTCCGCCGTCCCTCCTCAAGCAGCTGCAGCAGGTGAAGGTGGCCAGCATGCCCTGGCGGAAGCGCTTGTTCATGAAGCAGTAAATGATGGGATTGACGCAGGCTGAGGTGTAGGACAGCAGGTGGATGAAGGAGATGGGCGCGCCGGTGAGGCGGTAGGCCGAGCGCTGGTCGAAAGCCTGCCACGCGTTGACCACAAAGATGGGAGTCCAGCACACGAAGAAGAGGAAGACAATGACCAGGAGCATGCGGATCACGCGCTTCTTGGCCATCAGGTTGGATGAAGAGTTGGTGCCGCACACACGGCCCATCATGGACTTGGTGCTGGGGTTTCCTGTGCTCAGTGAGAAGCTCTTCTTTTTAGACGGCTGCAGGTAACAGCCGTCACTGTCGCTGGGCTTGATGCTGCCAGTGCTGGACTGTCTTTCTGTCAGGGGAGAGAATATTAAAAGAGTGTTGTTTTATCAGGAGCATAAAAGCCTTGTTGACTTTGCGATGTGTAATACCTGGCCAAACTGATGGGGAGCAGCGTTTCACCTACAAGCAATCTATCTCCTAACAGCAGGGCAGGAATACACAAAGTCCGACCAAACTGTTGAAACTCTGAGGGTGCTTTCAGACCTAGAGTTGTCTTGCTTTGGTCTGAATCAGGGACTCATTTTGTTACAAAGCTGCGTAATTGCCGAGAGTTGGTTCATGTTCTCATAGCAGCCCAGATAAAACCAGCTTTTTTGAATATGTAAATTTAGACTTATGTGTCTTTAAAGATTTTTGTCTTCAGTAGAAACCAGTGGGAGCAGAGTGCACCTGAGATGGATGCAGACATTGTAAGTTTTTTGTCTTTCCATAGAATTCATCGACAATCATTAAGATATTAAATAACGCCGATGTTGCTGTGTTTTATTTCCACACCTCTGTCAGATTTCCTGCTGGACATCTCAAACGTGATTCCCCGGTACAGCTCCAGGCAGATGAGTCCATAGGCTGTCATCATGATGATCCCGGGGATGAGGAACAGCAGCAACAACAGGGACACATACCTGCAGGGGACAAATTAGCTGGAATAAGTGGACGTAAAATGAGCTTTCAGTGTATCTAATTTAAATCAACAGCAGATCCAAATTGCTTTGCTGATATTGTAATCCCTGCCTTTGAGTCTGGACTGATATCACCATGACAACACAACTGTTAATGTGTAATAAGCCTTGTATGTTCTCTACATTGTTTAATCTTTATTTTTCATTATCATGGTCAACATGTTTTGTTTTTCAAAGGTGTTCTGTATAAATTTACCTGACACACTGACTATATTATTGCAAATTTTATTTTGAAGGGTCAGATCTGTGTGACACCAGAAGATTTCCCCAAGTGGTTGTCTCTCACCAGCAGCATCAGACGGAGAAAATCAATAAAAGGGCCGTCTGAAATTAGCAGCGGGCTACTTTAGCTGCCACACAATCTTGAGTGCATCTGAGTGTGAAGACACCCTGCTGGGACAGTAAAGGTACGACGCTCCCTAATGCACTTATACTGAGCTCACCAGGCCTGCAGGATGATGTCGTTGGGCCACGCCGTGCGGCACATGTGCCCGGTGCTGTTGTTGTGGCGAGTGAAGGGCTTGAGGGTGCTAGAAATTGGGTAGGGTAGCATCAGGATGAAGGACATGACCCAGGTGGCAGTGATGACCTTGGCGGCGTGGGATTTCGTCTGCCACGCCCTGGAGGTCAGCGGTTTACAAATGGCGCTGTAGCGCTCCAGGGAGATGGCCACCAAGTTGAACGTGGAAACACTCACTGAGACACCTGAACAGATCAAAGTTAAGAGATGACGGACTTTTTTAGTTTCAGTGTTGAGCAATTAATCTGAAAAAAAAAAATCCAGGGGCGGAAATCCTGGGGGGGACAGGGGGGACATGACTCCCCCTTCAGTAAAGCTGTACCCCCCTAGAATAATTTGAGACACAATTAATAATTTTTGAACAATGCAGTAGTATTTATTAAAAGCACAATGTAAGCGGTGCTCATTATAATCGCACAATAATGTGCTATTTAAATCTTAAAAGATTTAGTCCCCCCCTCCCATTCCTAGTAGTGGTATACGACAAAGATCTCAAGGCATCGATCTGGCCTCTGAATTCCCCAGATCCAAATCTGATTGGGGTGGGGAGTGTACTTGGTCTGTAATGGTGTTTGACTGGGTGGTACTGTGTAAAAAAAGTAGCCACCATGAAGTCACCCAATGGTTTGTGGACTACCATTTTAAAGTTTGGCATTTTGGCCGTGGCCATCTTGGTTTCTTGGAGCCAGAAGTGACCATATTTTGAAGACAGGTTGGAGCTATAGAGGAGCATGGGGACTGAGAACCCAAGGATACCATCATGGTAGCGACTTGTCAATCACAACTAACCACGCCCTAAATCATACCCTGCTTCATTGTGTATTTTAATATTGTGGGATTTACTTTAATACTGTTCGTACAGCTACTCTATAAATGGGACCAAAAACCTTGAAATGAGCATCATGCTGTTTTGAGGAAGACTTGAAACTAGAGACTGAGATCATAAACTCATTAGGAAAATGCTAACTGACGTAGTAAATCAAGATTGAAGAAGAGAAGTGGTATCATTTTCTCAATCGCCCCCTGCTGGCCATTAGAAATAATACAGGTTTAAGACACTTCCACACTGACTTCACTTTAAAGACCTGGAGGTAACCTCTTGGGAAGTACAAGTTTTTACTCTCATGTCAGTACAGTAAATATGGAGTTACAGCTAGAGGATGGTTAGCTTAGCTTAGCATAAAGACTGAAACAAGGGGAACAACATAAAAAAGGCTGCTGCTTCGTACTTAAAGGGATAGTTAAAGTGGGGTTGTATGGGATACTTATCCATAGTCAGTGTATTGTGTGAAGTAGATGTCAGTCAGCATGCCGTCAGTTTGGAGAAGCAGGCTGAAGTACTGACACGGAAGCTAAGCAATGTACTGCTGTGGGCGGGGTCAGCAACAAAACGTATTTTAACCACCTAAAAAAAATCAATACCCATTGAAGTGTATGCTATATTGGGAGTATTTCCACTGCTTTACCTTTCTGTCAGACAGCCTGTTCAAACAGGAAAGCTGTTAATGGCTTCAGTTCCCCATTATCAAAGCCACCAGACTCCATTGAAAAAAACAGTAATTTTAGCACACTGAACACAGGAGCTGCTGGTCTGCGGCTACTTCAATAAGTTAGTTAGTTTTTGTCATAGTGCGACGTTGGTGAATCAGAACTTACCATTCTAAATGCCACCATCACACAATAACACAAACAAAATAAGTGTCCGAGGCAGTAATAGACCAGGCAGCTCCTACGTTTAGTGATGTTAAATCGCTGTTTTTCTCAATGGAGTCTGACACTGAAGAGAGCGATGTAACACTTTGGTTTTCCCATTGAAAATCAATGTCTGACATTTAGGTAAAGCAGGGAAACTACTCTCAATATAGCACACACTTGAACTGATATTGATTTTTTTAGGTGGGATTGTTTTTTAGGAGGCTAAAATATGTTTTATTGCTGACCCCTCCACACCAGTAGATACATCGGCTGTGTGTAATATACTGTCTATGGATAAGTACCCCATACAACCCTACTTGAGAGTAGCATCAAACTTCTCAGCAAATTCTCAGCAAATAAAGCAATGTAACTATTCCTTTAACTATCAAAATTTGCCTCCGCCTTGGTTCAGTTTTTCCTCCCTCTGCCACAGGCTGTGTAACACCCAGAATGGTCAGCATCCTCAGATCATGTACTTCACTGCGAGTGATGCTATGGCACATTAATTTTTCGTCACATTAAACTGCTGAGCGGCCACAGAGCACATCCTGCACTATCCGTTACACGATCAGCGTTAACACACTCACAAGAACAAATATAAATACACTCAAATTATCCCTTGTACAATCCACAAGGAGCGACACATAAACAGATAAACAGAGGGGACAAATGAGGTAATAACCCTGGATGACAGCGCTCCGATCTCACTTGAAGGAGCAACAGGAAGTGAGGAGAAAAAAAGAAAATCAGATTTCCTAGCGGACCTGTAATTGGATGAGAGTGAAATATTAGTAAAGGTGTGCCATCTGTAATGACTGCACCTTATTACAGTTTTCCCAGCGGAGGCTTTCTGAGAGGTAGGGGAAGAAACTCCAGGAGTTAATCAAACTCACACGCAAATTAAAGCCGAGGGAGCGTTGTTTCACATGCCTGATCTGATTGACTGTTTGTGGCCTCTGCTGCTGATCGTTGGAGAGGTAATTTGGAAGTAATTTAACTCAGGAATTGACATAAAAATTGTCAAATTTTCTGCTTGTAAAAAAGGTGAGGTCCATTCACTGCCACAAACAAACACAAACTCAGTTTTATCCTCTCGAGAAACTGAGTCCTCAGATGAGGACATCACATTTTGGGTTTACTTGACCCTCTACTTTATTCTGCTTAACTTAGACCTGTTGTCCTCGTTCGTGGACACTTTTTGTGCCATCTAGTGGTAGTAAGAGCACAATACACTAATCCATGTAAAAACAAGATGGCGGCCATCTCTGCCAAGTTAGTCTGCAGCTGATCCCAACACAAAAGTGGACAAGGTCCAAAACCTGATCACATTTTATGGTTGAAACTTGTTTATTTGAGATTAATGATGTTTGTAGTTTGATATGGCAACAAATTTGACCAACTGTTGCAACAGTAACAAGATAAGACGCTGTTAATTGAAGAAGTACTTGTTTAAGGATACTGGGACTTTATTATAGTTTCTTTTTTTGGGACATTGGGACTTTATTGTTGTCTCGTTTGAGGACATTGGAACTTTATTGTTGTCTCATTTGAGGACATTGGGACTTTATTGTTGTCTCATTTGAGGACATTGGGACTTTATTATCGTCTCGTTTGAGGACATTGGGACTTTATTATCGTGTCGTTTGAGGACATTGGGACCTTATTGTTGTTACGTTTGAGGACATTGGGACTTTATTGTTGTCTTATCTGAGGACATTGGGACTTTATTGTTGTCTTATTTGAGGACATTGGGACTTTATTGTTGTCTCATTTGAGGACATTGGGACTTTATTATCGTCTCGTTTGAGGACATTGGGACTTTATTATCGTGTCGTTTGAGGACATTGGGACCTTATTGTTGTTACGTTTGAGGACATTGGGACTTTATTGTTGTCTTATCTGAGGACATTGGGACTTTATTGTTGTCTTATTTGAGGACATTGGGACTTTATTGTTGTCTCATTTGAGGACATTGGGACTTTATTATCGTCTCGTTTGAGGACATTGGGACTTTATTATCGTGTCGTTTGAGGACATTGGGACCTTATTGTTGTTACGTTTGAGGACATTGGGACTTTATTGTTGTCTTATCTGAGGACATTGGGACTTTATTGTTGTCTTATTTGAGGACATTGGGACTTTATTGTTGTCTCATTTGAGGACATTGGGACTTTATTATCGTCTCGTTTGAGGACATTGGGACTTTATTATCGTGTCGTTTGAGGACATTGGGACCTTATTGTTGTTACGTTTGAGGACATTGGGACTTTATTGTTGTCTTATCTGAGGACATTGGGACTTTATTGTTGTCTTATTTGAGGACATTGGGACTTTATTGTTGTCTCATTTGAGGACATTGGGACTTTATTATCGTCTCGTTTGAGGACATTGGGACTTTATTGTCGTGTCGTTTGAGGACATTGGGACCTTATTGTTGTTACGTTTGAGGACATTGGGACTTTATTGTTGTCTTATCTGAGGACATTGGGACTTTATTGTTGTCTTATTTGAGGACATTGGGACTTTATTGTTGTCTCATTTGAGGACATTGGGACTTTATTATCGTCTCGTTTGAGGACATTGGGACTTTATTGTCGTGTCGTTTGAGGACATTGGGACCTTATTGTTGTTACGTTTGAGGACATTGGGACTTTATTGTTGTCTTATCTGAGGACATTGGGACTTTATTGTTGTCTTATTTGAGGACATTGGGACTTTATTGTTGTCTCATTTGAGGACATTGGGACTTTATTATCGTCTCGTTTGAGGACATTGGGACTTTATTGTCGTGTCGTTTGAGGACATTGGGACCTTATTGTTGTTACGTTTGAGGACATTGGGACTTTATTGTTGTCTTATCTGAGGACATTGGGACTTTATTGTTGTCTTATTTGAGGACATTGGGACTTTATTGTTGTCTCATTTGAGGACATTGGGACTTTATTATCGTCTCGTTTGAGGACATTGGGACTTTATTATCGTCTCGTTTGAGGACATTGGGACTTTATTATCGTCTCGTTTGAGGACATTGGGACTTTATTATCGTCTCGTTTGAGGACATTGGGACTTTATTATCGTCTCGTTTGAGGACATTGGGACTTTATTATCGTCTCGTTTGAGGACATTGGGACTTTATTATCGTCTCGTTTGAGGACATTGGGACTTTATTATCGTCTCGTTTGAGGACATTGGGACTTTATTATCGTCTCGTTTGAGGACATTGGGACTTTATTATCGTCTCGTTTGAGGACATTGGGACTTTATTATCGTCTCGTTTGAGGACATTGGGACTTTATTATCGTCTCGTTTGAGGACATTGGGACTTTATTATCGTCTCGTTTGAGGACATTGGGACTTTATTATCGTCTCGTTTGAGGACATTGGGACTTTATTATCGTCTCGTTTGAGGACATTGGGACTTTATTATCGTCTCGTTTGAGGACATTGGGACTTTATTATCGTCTCGTTTGAGGACATTGGGACTTTATTATCGTCTCGTTTGAGGACATTGGGACTTTATTATCGTCTCGTTTGAGGACATTGGGACTTTATTATCGTCTCGTTTGAGGACATTGGGACTTTATTATCGTCTCGTTTGAGGACATTGGGACTTTATTATCGTCTCGTTTGAGGACATTGGGACTTTATTATCGTCTCGTTTGAGGACATTGGGACTTTATTATCGTCTCGTTTGAGGACATTGGGACTTTATTATCGTCTCGTTTGAGGACATTGGGACTTTATTATCGTCTCGTTTGAGGACATTGGGACTTTATTATCGTCTCGTTTGAGGACATTGGGACTTTATTATCGTCTCGTTTGAGGACATTGGGACTTTATTATCGTCTCGTTTGAGGACATTGGGACTTTATTATCGTCTCGTTTGAGGACATTGGGACTTTATTATCGTCTCGTTTGAGGACATTGGGACTTTATTATCGTCTCGTTTGAGGACATTGGGACTTTATTATCGTCTCGTTTGAGGACATTGGGACTTTATTATCGTCTCGTTTGAGGACATTGGGACTTTATTATCGTCTCGTTTGAGGACATTGGGACTTTATTATCGTCTCGTTTGAGGACATTGGGACTTTATTATCGTCTCGTTTGAGGACATTGGGACTTTATTATCGTCTCGTTTGAGGACATTGGGACTTTATTATCGTCTCGTTTGAGGACATTGGGACTTTATTATCGTCTCGTTTGAGGACATTGGGACTTTATTATCGTCTCGTTTGAGGACATTGGGACTTTATTATCGTCTCGTTTGAGGACATTGGGACTTTATTATCGTCTCGTTTGAGGACATTGGGACTTTATTATCGTCTCGTTTGAGGACATTGGGACTTTATTATCGTCTCGTTTGAGGACATTGGGACTTTATTATCGTCTCGTTTGAGGACATTGGGACTTTATTATCGTCTCGTTTGAGGACATTGGGACTTTATTATCGTCTCGTTTGAGGACATTGGGACTTTATTATCGTCTCGTTTGAGGACATTGGGACTTTATTATCGTCTCGTTTGAGGACATTGGGACTTTATTATCGTCTCGTTTGAGGACATTGGGACTTTATTATCGTCTCGTTTGAGGACATTGGGACTTTATTATCGTCTCGTTTGAGGACATTGGGACTTTATTATCGTCTCGTTTGAGGACATTGGGACTTTATTATCGTCTCGTTTGAGGACATTGGGACTTTATTATCGTCTCGTTTGAGGACATTGGGACTTTATTATCGTCTCGTTTGAGGACATTGGGACTTTATTATCGTCTCGTTTGAGGACATTGGGACTTTATTATCGTCTCGTTTGAGGACATTGGGACTTTATTATCGTCTCGTTTGAGGACATTGGGACTTTATTATCGTCTCGTTTGAGGACATTGGGACTTTATTATCGTCTCGTTTGAGGACATTGGGACTTTATTATCGTCTCGTTTGAGGACATTGGGACTTTATTATCGTCTCGTTTGAGGACATTGGGACTTTATTATCGTCTCGTTTGAGGACATTGGGACTTTATTATCGTCTCGTTTGAGGACATTGGGACTTTATTATCGTCTCGTTTGAGGACATTGGGACTTTATTATCGTCTCGTTTGAGGACATTGGGACTTTATTATCGTCTCGTTTGAGGACATTGGGACTTTATTATCGTCTCGTTTGAGGACATTGGGACTTTATTATCGTCTCGTTTGAGGACATTGGGACTTTATTATCGTCTCGTTTGAGGACATTGGGACTTTATTATCGTCTTATTTGAGGACATTGGGACTTTATTATCTTTGACAGTGTTTAGCTTCTTATACTTATCAGGTCCTACTGATCCCAAATAGCTGGGAGAAATTCAAAATGCATACCAAACAAAATTTCGGGTCTCAAACACCATGAAGTGAGGAATTTGATTGGGAGGATTTTGCGCAGATTTTCAAGTCTAATTATAAAATTAACTAAAAGCAGCCATTTTGATTTGTTTTATGTCCAATTTTGTCATATTTAACACAATTATGTTTCTGCAAAAAGAGGAAGAAATGAACAAAACAGCTTCAAAGGAATCCATTATTTTATAGTAAAGTCTGTCTTTCTCATCTCCTGTACTGATTTTATGTTCCTGCGCCTCACTGAAGCAGGTCAGGTTGTGACATTTACCTGCACTTAGCTGTGTTATGTTCAGCTGCTGTATCTTACATCACCCTCCTGCAAGCACGTTACACCACACCGGCTGCTTGTACCTCATATTCAAATGAGCACACAGACACTTTTGTCCTTCAGCAGATGAATGTGAAAACAATATTTAGTGTCAAACTCTGCATATACATCACACTGCACCTTGAAGCTCAGATATCCAAGTGAAGTGACAACAAGCAAAACACATTTATGAGTGTGGGCAGACGTTAAAGTTCTGTTGATAATGGTTCAAACTGTTTTGACATTTGTACAGATTGAATTCTTCATTTCCAATTTACCCATGTCATTCATAAATAATGATTTTGCTTCTACGCCATCTATCATTTTGCTCAAGACTTACGAGCCCTGTCATTATTCATGATTGAGGGAGAATCTACCGTCGAATAGAAGAAACAGCCTCGATTGCGCTTAAAAAATTGTAGGCATAGCAACAGGAAAAACTGAATTGGTGCTGCAGATATTACGTCAGGTAAAATTAAACTTTCTGACAAGGTGTCCGTCGACTAGTTCTGTTTTTAGCTCATGAAATCACCAGGAGTGTTTGAACATGCAGGGAAATGAACCTCAGGCAGGACATGTCCTAAGATGACTTCAATTACCCTCGATCTCCGACATATAATACAATTACCAGCATAAAAAAAACTAATATAATAATAATGAACCATGGACATACAGAGATGAATTGTTTTGCACTGGGCACGACAGATGTATTAGGCAGACATGGGTTTGAATCAGAGGGCCACAGAGCGTCAGTGCAAAAATTTTTACGGATTTAAATCAAACTTTGATGCAAATTTAAACAGATTTGGTGAAGTCTTTACTTGCAGCTGTCGTGATTTGCTTAGTAAAAGAAACTCTACTTTGGGGGACAATTATAAAATGAGATATCACAATCGTCATTTTAGGCAAATATTGATCTGAATTATAGGGCAACAGAGCATCAGTGCAAAGTTGTTAACATTTAAATCACATTTGGATGCAAAATTTAAACAAATTTGGCAAAGTTTCTACTTGCAACTGTACTTATTCGCTCTCCTTGACAAAAAGAAAGTCTACTTTGGAGGATGATGATAAATTAAGGTATAACATTAATATTTTTGCCAGAATAGGTCTTAAGTAGAGATCAACAGAGCATCAGTTCAAAACTTTTACACATTTAAATTGAACTTAAAAACAAAATTTTGAAAAAAAAAAGTCAAATTCTGTACTCGCAACTGCCGTAATTTGCTTGCTTTAAGTAATAGAAAGTCTGCTTTGGGTAATAATGATAAATTCAGGTATCTCAACCTCAACATTTAAATTCAATTTGGATTCAAAATTTAGACAAAGTTGGCAAATTCTCTACTCACAACTGGTGTCATTTGCTCTCCCTGAGTAAAAAAAAGTCTGCTTTAGTGGCTAATGACAAATTGAGGAGTCACAACAGTATGTTTTGGGAAAAGTGAGTTTGAATTAGAGGCAACAGAGCATCAGTGCAAAATTTTTTTAACATTTAAATCAAATTTGGATGTAAAATTTGAACAAATTTGGCAAATTTTCTATGTACAACTGTCATCATTTGCTTTCCATGAGTAAAAGAAGTCTACTTTAGGGGGATAATGATAAATGTAGGTAACACAATAACATTTCTGGCATAAGCAGTTCTGAATTAAAGGGCAGCAAATAATTTGTGCAAAATTTTTATACATTTAAATAAAACTTGGCTGTAAAATTTTAACAAATTTAGCAAATTCTCTTCTTGCAACGGTCATAACTTGCTTTCTTGAGTAAAAGAAAGCCATCTTTGGGTGATAATGATAAATTGAAGTATCATAATAATATGTTTGGGAGACCTGGGTTTGAATTAGAGGCAACAGAGCATCAATGCAAATTTTGAGGACACAAAAACTTGTTTAACATTTACATCAAATTTGGATTCAAAATTTGAAAAAAAAAAAAAAAAAGGGCATTTTTTTAAAATGTAATTGTCATTTGCTTTGCTTGGGTACCTACATTGGGTGTAATGATAAAGTATCATAATAACATTTTTGGCAAAAGTGGGTTTGAATTAGAGGGCAACAAGGCATCAGTGCAAAACTTTTATGTATTTAAATCAAATTTGGATGCAAAATTTGTACAAACTGGGCAAATTTTCGACTCACAACTGTCATAATTTACTTTCCATGAGTTAAAAAAAAAAGTCGTTTTTGGTTGGTAATGATAAATTAAGGTATCACAATAATATTTTTTGGCAGAGATAGATTTGAATAAGAGAGCAACAGAGCATCAGTGCAATTTTTTTTAACATTTTAACATTTATATCAAATTTAGATGCAAATCTGAACAAATTTGACAAATTGTGGACTCGCAACCATCATGATGTTCTTTCCTTGAGTAAAAGAAGTCTACTTTAGGGGGATAATGATAAATTTAGGTAACACATTTCAACAATATGAGGTTGATTTGGTCATAAAAGTTCAATAAATTGTAAAATTTAACTGTAAATGAAAATTTAAGAGGAGACAACAATTAAAATATATCCCAATTTAAAGATGACCAAACATAACTTTTTAATCCCACTCACCCATGAAGTACATGACCAGCTTGCACATGCCGGTGCCGAAGATGAAGTCCCTCATGAGGTTGGGGATGAGGGTGAAGGGGATGCAGACCAGGGAGACCATCAGGTCGCTGATGGCCAGAGACAGCAGGAAGAGGTTGGTGACGGTCCTCATGCGCCTGTTCCTCACCAGGACGGCGATGATGAGGCTGTTACCCACGACACTGAGGAGGAAGATGAGGCTGTAGAGGACGATCCGCACTGTCTGGTTGATGTCTGACAGGAGTGGGAGGCACATGGGTACACAGTCATATAAACTCTGGGTATGTCATTCTTAAAATGTGCGCTATTTTGGCTCACTCAAGCAGATTTACACCCTAAATCACTTTAAAATCATAAAATATTCCTGTGTGGTGACTTATAAACCGATTGGGGTCAGTGTCTCTTGGTGTGTCACCATATTAGGTCTAAATGGATTTTTTATTGTAGATTTTATCCACAGAAATGCGCAAGCTTTGTGCGCATTTAATCCTCTATCCTGTGGCTATAGCGTGAATAATGTCACATCTGTCCACTTGACATTGGCAGAACTAGTGTACAGAGACAACATATGTGTCACTATTAGACTACATGAGCTTTATGGAGGACCTGAGCCATATGCGTAATGCGCACTGACGCAAAAAAAAGCCCAAAGCGGTCACTCTTTTGGCACAAACTGGAGACAGTTGTTTGCATTGGGAATAAATATTAATATCAAATTTCTGAATGCCATTATCTGCCATTGGACAGGATGTTCCACAGCATGTGGACAAAATAAATAGATTTACAGTACCTTTAGGTTCGGGCGAAGGCTCCTGCTCGCACTCCGAAATGTTCTTGATCCCAAAATTACATAAAATCTTGTTGAGGTCAGTTGAATTTATGAGCATGTCGTGTATTGTAAACGTCTCCATGTCGCGCTGTCGCTGTGTCTCTCTCTATAGCCTCAAGTAAAATCAGTCATATGAACAGCATGCGTCATGCTCTTGCAAGAAAAGAAAATGCTCCAAATGATGAGACGAGTATTTCCTCTCAGCTGAGTTTTTAAAAAAGGGAAAAATAATAAAAATAATATGGTGTTCTCGACAAGTTTCCCGTGCGCTCCCAGTGTGGTGCGCTGCGCTCCACCAGTGCTCAGCATTCACTGACTATATGTGCGACGGGACACATTCTTGAGTGCTCAGCCAGCCTTTAGGGTCTGAGAGCAAGTCAGCCCCCCCCCCCTCCCCTCCTTTTTTCTTTTTAAATAAAACACTCACTCATAAATCATTGCAGTAATAGAGGCGCTGCAGCGGTAAGTACACAATATGCTCTGCGCGCTGAGCATTCCTCTTGCTTCTTTATTAATACCTCTAATGTGTCTCATTTCCCGGGTCATTTATTCTGGAGCCAAAATCCGAGGCGCGCAACAGAAATTAACTTGATTGAGGATATCAGATGTTTGGTGCCAGGAGTGCTCTGCTCCGCATCCACTGCAGGGTGACACATTTCAGAGCATGGTATCGCCTGCTGTGGCATTTCATGTGGACGTGTCAGCAGCAATATGGAAGGTCGTGCTGTAATTGATGGGTGCAGAGATGCGCTGTCATTAGTGCGCAAACAACGCCAACTCCTGTATTCTGGAGTCAGTCACATGCAGAGTTGCTGGGAGTATTGTCTCACTCACTGGAAGAGCCAAATAATAATTATAGTAGTTATCAGGAACTCCTTTGGGAAGCTCTGGGAGTGAAGCTGCTCACATGTGAGAGAAACAGCTGGTGATATTATTAATTATGATAAATCAAACACAAGACAGGAGGGGCCCATTATGACAAAAGGTCACAATCTGCATGCATCTTTTAAGTAGCTCCAACTCTGCTATTATTGAGTCAATCCAATGTGTCTAACTAAATTAGTTAAGTTCAACCAACATTATTTGATTTAACCTAAAAAAAAACCCTCAAATATTTATCCAAAGCTTTGTTTATGTTCAATGTTCAAATCATTTTATTTAAGACTGTCAAAATTGTTTTTTAATTTTGACAAACTTCTTAAAATACTTTGTCAACTTACTAAAACACAATAATAACACAAATATAATTTCCAATCCTGAAAAACCAATTCAATAACTCCATGAATCATTTTTCCGAGTGCACTCTAAACAACAATCCATAAAAAGTTCTTGATTTTGACCAGATTCCTAAAATAAGTTGTCAGTAACTGAAACACTTAAATGTAACAAACATAATTGTTTATGCTGAAAAATTATTTATTTTAAGTATTATCCATTAACCCCATGAATCTTTTTTAGAGTGCACTCTAAAAATAATCCACTGGTTCAACTTAAAGAAAACTAAAGTAAAAATTTGCAGCATCTTTTTAAGTAGCTCCAACTCTGTCATCATTGAGTCAAACCAATTAGTCTTTTATAATCTGACAAACTCAATTACTTTGGTACAACCAACTGTGTGCTGTGGCCTAAAAATAAATAAATAAGTTGAACCAACTTAATACTGATATTTTTGAATATTTAGACTATTTAAACTATTGAAGATATTCTAACTTGTTTATTTTAATTCAATTCTACTCAAAAATGTGAAAATAGTTTTAATTTGGACCAACGTCTTAAAATAAGGTTTCAACTGGTAAAAATGACTACAAGAAGACACAAAATGACCACAAGAGGACACACAATTACTACAGACACAAATGACTACAAAAAGACACAAGATGTCTACAAGAAGACACAAAACGACCTCAAAGAAACACAAAATGAGCTCAAAAAAACAAAACGACCACAAAGAGACACAAAATGTCTACAAAGACACACAAAATGACCTCAAAGAGACGCAAAACGTCAGAGACACAAAATGACCTCAAAGACACACAAAATGTCTACAAAGAGACACAAAACGACATCAAAGAGACACAAAATGTCTACAAAGACACACAAAATGACCTCAAAGAGACACAAAACGTCAGAGACACAAAATGACCTTAAAGACACACAAAATGTCTACAAAGAGACTCAAAATGACCAAAAAGAGACACAAAATGTCAGAGACACAAAATGACCTCAAAGACACACAAAATGTCTACAAAGAGACACAAAACGACATCAAAGAGACACAAAATGTCTACAAAGACACACAAAATGACCTCAAAGAGACACAAAACGTCAGAGACACAAAATGACCTTAAAGACACACAAAATGTCTACAAAGAGACTCAAAATGACCAAAAAGAGACACAAAATGTCAGAGACACAAAATGACCTCAAAGAGACACAAAATGTCAGAGACACAAAATGACCTCAAAGACACACAAAATGTCTACAAAGAGACACAAAATGACCAAAAAGAGACACAAAATTTCTACAAAGAGACACAAAATGACCTCAAAGAAACACAAAATGACCAAAAAGAGACACAAAATGTCTACAAAGAGACACAAAATGACTATAAAGAGACACAAAATGACCACAAAGAGACACAAAACAACTTCAAAGACACACAAAATGACTACAAAGAGACACAAAACGACATCAAAGAGACACAAAATGACCTCAAAGAGACACAAAACAACAACAAAGAGACACAAAATGACTACAAAGAGACACAAAACGACAACAAAAAGACACAAAATGACAACAAAGAGACACAAAATGACCAAAAAGAGACACAAACTGACCTCAAAGAGACACAAAACAACATCAAAGAGACACAAAATGACCACAAAGAGACACAAAATGACCTCAAAGAGACACAAAACAACATCAAAGAGACACAAAATGACTATAAAGAGACACAAAATGACCACAAAGAGACTCAAAACAACGTCAAAGAGACACAAAATGACCACAAAGAGACTCAAAACAATGTCAAAGAGACACAAAATGACTACAAAGAGACACAAAACAACATCAAAGAGACACAAAATGACTACAAAGAGACACAAAATGACCACAAAGAGACTCAAAACAACGTCAAAGAGACACAAAATGACCACAAAGAGACACAAAACGACATCAAAGAGGCACAAAATGACCTCAAAGAGACACAAAATGACCTCAAAGAGACTCAAAACAACGTCAAAGAGACACAAAATGACCACAAAGAGACACAAAACGTCAGAGACACAAAATGACCTTAAAGACACACAAAATGTCTACAAAGAGACTCAAAATGACCAAAAAGAGACACAAAATGTCAGAGACACAAAATGACCTCAAAGAGACACAAAATGTCAGAGACACAAAATGACCTCAAAGACACACAAACTGACCTCAAAGAGACACAAAATGACCACAAAGAGACTGAAAACAACAACAAAGAGACACAAAATGACCACAAAGAGACACAAAACGACATCAAAGAGACACAAAATGACCTCAAAGAGACACAAAATGACCTCAAAGAGACACAAAACAACATCAAAGAGACACAAAATGACTATAGAGACACAAAATGACCACAAAGAGACTCAAAACAACGTCAAAGAGACACAAAATGACTACAAAGAGACACAAAACAACATCAAAGAGACACAAAATGACTACAAAGAGACACAAAATGACCACAAAGAGACTGAAAACAACAACAAAGAGACACAAAATGACCACAAAGAGACACAAAACGACATCAAAGAAACACAAAATGACCTCAAAGAGACACAAAATGACCACAAAGAGAC